TCACCGCTGCTCCTTGCCTAGAGAGAGACCTGCTGATCAGAACAAAACTGAAAGGCCTCATATGAGTACAGTTAGCTAGTTTTGAAAGTTAGTAGGTGACACTAAGTTGCTTTGTATTATTTTAGGTTTCTATTTGTATTATTTTATATTTCTCGCTAGATACAAAGAATAAGTTTTACATGAATTTTTACATTTTTGTGTTTTACCTTGTACCACCTTTTTTGTGTTTTACCTTTTTTGTGTTTTACCAAGTCAATAACTCACTTTAATATGCAGAGATAATTTTTAAGGGTAAGCAGTTAGTTATAAATTAAATAAGGTAGTTAGATAACCTTAGTCATTATGGATTTACATCACCACTATTAAATTTTACTTATTTTTTAACAATATTGTTAAAAGTCCATATTAAAATCACAATCTATATAAAATTTCACACAGAAAATACATACAATTTATATCATAGATTCTTAAACGATACTAGGGATAATTATAAATTAAAAGCTACAAAACATGCAACAACACTCAACAAAATATTTATGCATCTTTTTGATTTGAAGCCTGGCCAGACATTTTGGCTAATTTATATCGATTTCCTTCTCTTTAAGCATCTATACTAAGAATTAGAAATTTCTCTCAATATGCAGACCAATGTTCTCACTAGTTTCTGCGTGCTTTATCTCCTAACTTGTCAACCACTCCACAATGTACCTATGAGGGTTTACTTGATCTGGTAAAAGTTAAATAGTCCAAAAAGTCCCGATAGACGTGAAGCAAATTATCGCAACGTCTCAAAGTAACTACAAAGGTTTAAATAAGCATCTTATTTAAAAAGAACTTAAAAGCATGTTCTTATGCTAACCAAATCAATTACAGTTTGTGGTGATGTAATTAAACAAGAACAATCGAATTCAAACAAAAAAATGTGGACTGGTGGTTAAAGACTATACAATTTAATTTTAATTTAAGCTGGCTCAGTAACTCTATCTTCATAATGAATTCAAATGTCAGCAGTTATAATGCAGTTATAATGCAAAAACAAAAAAAAAAAAAAAAAAAATGTCAGCAGTTATAATACAAAAACAAAAAGTTTCAAATTATCAGAGCGGGCAGGAAGTAATGCAGCGAGCAAGCGGAGATTAAAAACACATTCTGTCTTACATGCCAAAAACCTCAGTTTAAAAACTGCCTAAGTGATTTGCATTCTGGGGAAAAAACGGTAAATTATAGTAAAGGCTGAAATCATAAACAACTGGGTAATTTACATAATAATACCTGTATATATATTTGAAGAATAATTTTCTTTCTCTGTATGTATTCGGTTTCTTTCTTCAACATGCTTCCTTTTCATTTTAGAATTTTTGGATTTAATTAAAGATTTCTGTTATTTTAAAAAACTAAATGCATTTAGAACGTATAGAAAAAGCTTTTAATTTTATTTTAGTAATATAAAAATTCAGAAGAAATATGAAATATATATGGTAAAAGCCGGTTACAGAGTTGGTGTGGCAGAATTTTTAGAATTTAGTGACACACCAAACAACAAAATCTAGAAATGGCAGAATTTTTAGAATTTAAAGCATGCACTGGAAGCAGAATATTTAAAGGCACTAGTCAGCAAATTTAGGATCTACAGAGATAAGTTTAATATTCCACGTGATTGCACCAGGTGGGAAAATGCATAGCGTCAGACCTGTGTATGATGCATTAAGACATATTAGATGAATCTTCTAAGTTGCCAGTTTTCAATTTATTTATTAATAAAAAAATTCCTTTCTATAATGTCTGTCCATGTGATCAGATTAGAAGCATTTTTAATATTTTCCATACTTGTGTTTAGTGAAAAGTAGAGAAAATAAAGTGAAGATAAGTATGTTAAGAAAAAGATTTTAGTATCAGAAGTAAAGCATTCAAATATTATGTTTTCATTGTTCTTCCAGATGTTCTCCAAAAAGTAAGAAATTCATTGCAAACTTTCTGTTAAATACATACATTACGTGTTAATACCTTAGAGACATTTTTCATTTTGTCACATTTTTCTAAAATCTTCTGGAATCGTGGGTCTATAAATCTTACCTTTAAATCTTTCTAAACTTTCCAAGTTCTTCCAAACTTCTTCAATGCAACTGCTGTTGTTGTTGCAATGTCTAATGTTCCGAAGAAAAATTACCCCTACCAATTTTGTAACAGCAAACAGCCAGAAATATTTTGAAAAAGAAATCAGACAGAAAAAGTGTGAAATTAATTTTATAGAGAAAACTGATGCATATTCTGAGACAATTACATGAGAAAACTCTTATCATGAAAAAATTTCAAAGAAGATATTTTTAAAGTAATATGTTATTTTTAAATATAATTTCAATATATTACCATTACTTTAATGAAATTTATCAATGTTAGAATGTTTAAAAAAAATCGTCGAAAAATTCCCAGATCTTGGAATTTAAAATTTTCTATAGAAACTGATGTTAAAAATCGCCAAAATGTTGATAAGTCGCCAAATTTAGAGCTGCTCAATGAAAGAATTTACAGCTCTAAAATCGAAAAGTTGTTTAAGAGCTCTTCATTAGAAAAAGAGGCCCACCAGCGGCCGAGCGGTAAAGTCGCTGAACACTGGTAGTTCGGTCCGAGGTTCGAATCTCGCGAACGGGCTGGCTGCATGGCTGTTTTCGTGGTTTTCCCCATGTGTAACGTGTATACGAGCCAGTTTCCCTTGGAAGGTCCTCCAAGAAGGCATCCCTCCCCTTAGGCAGATAGCCCTAGTGTGCTTTGCCATAATTAAATACACCACCACCATTAGAAAAAGTGAAATAATTTCGAAATACTTGTTTCACTTCTTGCTCAGAAACTCGAGTATCCCAAAATTTATATTAGAAATAGAAACAAATCATAACCCATTCAAATATCAATATTTATCAGTGAATTGCCAAAAATATACCTCCAAACTGGTTATTCACACCCGAAATGGCAGTCGTAAAAACAGACAGAAATTTCACAGGATTAAAATTAAGGACCTTCTGCTGATTTTGGCCAAAATTAAGGACTTTAAAGAACCAAAAATCGATTTAAAAAACTTAAGGACTCTTAAGGAACGTACGAACCCTGGATAGATAATATAGTCATGATCAGGATCAAATTCAAGCAGAAGGCTCTGAAATCCACAATATTTTTTTAAAATAAGTAGGCTGGCTTCGATAGTACAGCGGTAACATGCACAACCGAGGAAGGAGGTTTGATTTATTTGATAACGGCAAAGCACTCACTCAAGAGATATCAGCCTAAGGGAAGAGATGCCTTCCAGGAGGACTTTCTAAAGAAAACTATCTCGCACACGGGAAAACCATGAAAACACCCTTTGGTTAGCCCGTTGACCGGGATTCGAACTGCCAGAGTTCAGCGACTTTACCACTGAGCCGCTGGTAGGCCCCGAGGAAGCAGGTCTTTGCATTCGTGTCCATTCGAAGCTTGTTTCTAAATTCCAGCAGATAAAAGTTTAAAAATAGGATTTATGATTTGAAAATAAATCGTGTGATGCATACATGTTCTTCACTTTTATTCTGTTAAATTAAGCGTCGAGGAACCTAGTGAACTTCTAAGCAAATAATCGCTTGGTTCAAAGAACAGAGAGTGTACGCTCAAAAAGGGTTAATTACCCTTTATTCACTCAAAATAAGATTAACAGTCGGGCCCCTTTCTTTGGGCGTACAGCAAAGCATCCACTTGGGCTTAAAAGTAAGAAATAAGAATTAACTAATGACTAACTAAAGAGATTTAGCCGAAGCTAACACAATTCTAAAGTACTTGGCCCGTAATATTTAATTACCCAGCGAACTATGAAAAGACACGTAATACGGCCGAGCGTAACAACAGCTTAGAGAGACGTAGCGCAAAGGAAAACGAGCGCTACTCAGGAATCCTAACTCTCTCCGTCGAATTCAGTTGAACTTAAATAATATTCTCCTTCTCATTTGCATTTAATACGATTCTAAAAACTCATTCTGGTAGGGAGTTGTAAGCTGAAACTAGATAAGATAGGAAAGATGCATCAAATTAAAATAATTGTTATAAAATTAAAATATACCTTACAGTGTATATAATAGCTTATTGTGAGTTTCCGCGAAGTTTGTTTCATAACAGCTTCAATAAATATTCATAAAATAAAGAAGATAATTTTGAATTAAAATACATACTTTTTCTTACTCTTTCGAGCACATTTTCTAAACACACATACGGCAGCAAATAACTTGCCTTGTCATCGATATTTATTTATGTGTACGCTCAAAAAGGGTTAATTACCCTTTATTCACTCAAAATAAGATTAACAGTCGGGCCCCTTTCTTTGGGCGTACAGTAAAGCATCCACTTGGGCTTAAAAGTAAGAAATAAGAATTAACTAATGACTAACTAAAGAGATTTAGCCGAAGCTAACACAATTCTAAAGTACTTGGCCCGTAATATTTAATTACCCAGCGAACTATGAAAAGACACGTAATACGGCCGAGCGTAACAACAGCTTAGAGAGACGTAGCGCAAAGGAAAACGAGCGCTACTCAGGAATCCTAACTCTCTCCCGTCGAATTCAGTTGAACTTAAATAATATCTCCTTCTCATTTGCATTTAATACGATTCTAAAAACTCATCTGGTAGGGAGTTGTTAAGCTGAAACTAGATAAGATAGGAAAGATGCATTAAATTAAAATAATTGTTATAAAATTAAAATATACCTTACAGTGTATATAATAGCTTATTGTGAGTTTCCGCGAAGTTTGTTTCATAACAGCTTCAATAAATATTCATAAAATAAAGAAGATAATTTTGAATTAAAATACATACTTTTTCTTACTCTTTCGAGCACATTTTCTAAACACACATACGGCAGCAAATAACTTGCCTTGTCATCGATATTTATTTATCTATGAACACTGAATAAGACACCTGCTCCTTTCTCGAACATTAATCTAACAATTTGATAGGTATAAATAAAACAAGGAATTAAACCTAAATATTGTATTTCATTTGGTCAAGATGGAAATTTTAAATCTGGTCTTACTGGCAGTGTGCATCGGCATCTGTCATGCCACGGAAAATAGTAGGTTTTTTTTTCCTTATTATTCTTAAGTGGATATATGAAAAGTAATATAAACCATTTTCTTAAGCAGGGTCTTTTTTGCTTTCTCTATTTTACTTAAACTATCTTTTTAACAGTTACAAAAATTGCACTTCGTGCCCTGTGAACCTGAGTCAATTTTCTTTTTGTAGTGTTCAGCTCAAAATATTCGTAAAATTTTCTTTAATAATGATCTGAACTGGCATTTTTTGATATGCAGTTTGATTTATGATATGATATTGAGTACTGTACTGCTGGACTGTTGAAGATATTAATCCAATTTCATAATATAATTTGCTTAAAGTATTAATTAAATATAATCTCGGTGTAAGAAATGTAACATGTCCTTCTTGCATAATTCATCTTCTATGAGGTTTCTCTATACTTTCAAGAGTTCTGAATGTTGTTAGCTCAATAAAAATTCAATTTACATCGCTTGCAGACGAAAACGAGTCTGTCACTGTATTTTAGAAGCCTCAGCTTTCTCAAGTTTCACTTGCTTTTTTCGTGGTTTTTTTCTCAATTCCCACGTCTTACATGTAAAACATTTCTTGCAACTTAACAGCAGTAAAGACGAACGTTTATAATTTAAATAAATAATAATGTAAGGGTAATTTTTAATTGGCATTACAACAATATTATGTTAAGCCTAAATGCATAATATCAAATTTTTCTAATTTTAAGAGTATTAATAACACTCTCTTTTTTAAAGTTTGACCGTCTTTATGCTTTAACGGGTAACCTAGCTTTTACATTCAAAGTTAAAAAATATTCAGCATTAAACTGAAGTCAGTTCTGCCGGAGACTTCAATATGCATTCCAGTATGTCCAATATTTTTGCTGCCTCTGAACTCCCAGGGCTTTATTATAAAATGAATATTAGTCCCAGACTAAAGTTTCTTTAGAATTTTATATTGGCCTATATCTCTTTCAAATATTAATTTACGCATTTCATTTTATCTATGATAAAGTACCACAATTTTATTTTATGTTAGGACAATTTCTATAGTTCAGTTTATACAAAATTTACTTAGAGTGGATACTGATACAAAATCAAGAAAGTGCACAATTATCGTATTTGCCGGCGTATAAGACGCACCACCTTTTTATACACATTTTTGAAGGATAAAACTGTATTACTGATTATCATAATGAATTTAGAGTATTTTAAATATGAAGTAATACAAATGCAATCTAATACGTTCGTCAAATATCCAATCTATCTGAGAAAGAACACCTTTTAATCTTATTCGTGAAAATTCAGACACTCGTCTCCAGAGTTAAATGAAAAGTCACCTGAATCCTCTTCTAAATCAGCATCTGAGTTCTCATACAACAAATTGTCCTCTGTACCATCTAGTGTGATCGTCGATGTCAGCGCATGCGCATTCACTGAACTCTACGTAATTGTAATATTTCCACACTTCGCAAGGAAACAAGAAACAAATCGCATAACTCCGAATAAAGGAAATTTCCAGAAATGAAGACAATCAAAAACTGAATATCGACGTATAAGACGCACCCCGTTTATCAGACCTATTTTCAAAGAAAAAAAGTGCGTCTTGTCGTCAACGCCGTTTTGTACGATAATTCTACTGTCCGAAAAGTTTTAATGACTCCTTCTCATGGAATAGTTCGCCTCAATGAAATTCATGAAATTCACTTCACTACATGTGCCACTGACTATTTTATTAATTTAAACAGCTGATATTTCTTTTAAAAAATTTTATATTTTGAAATCCATTGATTTGTTTAGTTCCGTTTCTTCCGAAATGCAAATGATGCGGAGTTTTTAATTTTCTCGAAATTTAGATTAAATGTTTCCATGTGTTAAGTTGCTTTGAGGAAAGGCGACTTTCACAAAATACTGGTTATTGCAAAAATAGAGGGTAATATTAATGAGAAAGGAATAAAAAGTTAGTGATCTGCTAAGTATGTTTGTGTGAACCAGAATCCTTCTTGGAAATAAAGTAAAGGTAATTCTAAACAAAATCTTAATTTACATACATTAGGAACTGCATTAACATTTAAGACATTTTTATTTCGAAATTATTATCTATACAAAATTTAAGGCTTTACTAACTGTTAGAGACTGTCATTAATAAAAGAAATGAACAGAAATCAAATCTTACCTCTGACAAATTACCTCTCTTATAACTTAAATGTATGTCGTAAAATACTGTAGCCAAATTTATTCTGCAATACTAGTTAAAAAGGACAAATATGCATTCCATGCGTTAACGTAAGTAATAAAGTACATTCTATACGATACGTTAACGAAAAATGAAAGGAGAATAGAATAACATAGAAGAAAGTAGCATTTTAATTGAAGGTAAAAGATTTCCAACTAGAGAACATTTATAAATATTCAGCAGAATATGTAATTGCCATTCAAATTAAGTCTTAATCTGCAGCTGTGATATTACACAAATTAAAGGAATATTAGTTTCAGTAAATATTTCAATAAAGTCGGGTAGAGAATATTGATAAATAATTAAACGTGAAATCAGAAATATTATTGTTCTTGTCTTTACCCTTACTTTCCTCACTTCACTTTTGTGAAATGAATGTCTTCAGTATTTATTGTTAGTTTTAATAGCTATAGTGAAGTTATTTGAAAGTTATAAGTTATTTGAAAACATTTTTTTTGAGTTTTTGGTTTAAAATCTATGAAATATTATGGAGATGGTAAGGTATTTTACCCTTGAGGCAAATGAAATCTTACTGCAAATAAATAAAGGAAAAATTGAAGGAATGTTATTTAAATTATAAAATTGCAACGGAAATTTTAATTAGCTACATTGAGGTGAAATTATGTTCTTTCGTTTGAATAACTATATTGTTTTCTCTTCTTACAGATTTTCTAGGAGACCTGCCATTGGAAAATCCGGATCTCATAGAAGGAGACATTCTTCCAATAGATGACTCAAATGTAATTTTAAATCAATTTTTAAATTATGTATAATATATATGCGAAAATTCGGTGAAATTTCACAGAAAGTGCTGAATCAAAAATAATACGCAGATTTTTAAAAATAAACGTAACTAAAACCTGAAAACTAGAAAATGTTTTTTCATATTAATTAATTACCGTGTTAATATACAGTATACAATATGTAATATTAATATGCAATTATAAATTTTTAACTTTCTTAAACCAGTAAAAAATTAGAAAAAGTAAAAAATTAGAAAAAAGTAAAAAATTAGAAAAAAGTCAAACTATTGAAACTTTAATTTCTTATTCGTTGTGCCTTAATTCATTAAAGAGGAAAAAAGTGAAGCAACTAAAAAAAACCGTACTAAATTGTATTAAAGTATAATTGTTACCAAGTCGATATCAGTATCGGATGCATACAAGCCGAGAAATGAGAAGCATTAACTAATAAAGAAGTGCAGTTAAAAATATAAGAATTAAAAAAAAAAAAAAAGAATTTGTGAAACCAATTTCACGAGAAATAATTATGATTTCTGTAAAGCATAAAATTAAGAAAATTTAAATCATACATTGAACCTGATTTTGCAGAAAGTGTTTTTTTATCAGAAAGAAAAAAATAATACGCTCGAATATACCACCTTAACCCATTAGCCGCTGGTGTTGCGTTGACGCAACGGTTAAAATAAATGCGTATATAAATATAACTACCTAAGGCATTTTATACCAGCAGATGATTTTGTGTAGGGAATGTTATGACGATAATTTCTGTAAAAAATATTTGCCTTTTACAATCATTTTGTTTATAATAATTAATCTCATACTTTACGCAAAATTTAAGCAAAATTTTCGACCGGGTACTTTTGCTGAAAATATTTAACGAAAGAATCGCCGTCTTTATGAGTGATCTATTTTTAGTCAAGGTCATCGTTTATCAGAACATTACATCAATCAGATGTTTATATTTGTGTTGGGAAGAAAGTGAAAACAGGTGTTGCGCTGACGCAACGTCAGCAGGAAACGGGTAGTCAATCTCCTTTTTCACTCATTCCTTTCGATGTTCTGGTTGTTTAAAAATGCCTAGAATGAGGTATCTGAAGAAGCCCTTCAAAGATTTTTTGATGAAGAAACAGATGATGATAATGTTAATAATGACCAGAATGAAACTGCTAGTGTTGTTGTTCCCCCAGAAATTGCAGAAACTAGTGACGAAGAAGAAAGGAATGGCAATGTTTTAAATAATGATAATGATATTTTACCAAATGATACTGCTGGGGAAGTTGAAATTCACGTAAGAAGTAAGTTTCAGCCTTCTAAAAGCAGTTATAGTCATACTAAAAAGTTTTAAAAAGCAGAAGATTGAAATCTTGAAGTGGATAAAAAGGAACTGTTAGTTATGTCTCAGGAAGAACATGAAGAAAAAGATAGAAGAGAAATTATAAAAGACAAAATACAAGGTAAAAGTAGTGCACAGATTTTCGGTTTTCTTTTTGGTTTAAACATTTACTCTCTTCTCGTTGAAGAGACAAATATATACGCTCAGCAAAAAAAAAAAAAAAAAAAAAAAAAAAAAAAAAAAAAAGGCCCAGAATTTATTACATCTGAAGCTTATATGAGAAGATTTATTGGAATATTATTGCTTACAGGATATTATTCTTTACCTCAAGAAAAAATGTATTGGTCTTTTGATAAGGACATTTCTGTTCCTGTTGTACGAGAATCGATATCACGTTTGCAGTACAGGAATATGAAGCAGAATTTGCATTTGACAATAGTCAAGTTGACAATAAATTATATGATAAATTATATGAGGTGAGACCGTATCTAAACTTACTAAATATCACCACTTTTTACTACTGGATATATAAAGTCTCTTTTAGATTTCAACGCGAAAATGCATTATTCCTTTTGCAAACTCCTATTGAGTGTGTAGAATTAGCCAGAAATAGATCAAAAACAGGAAGACCTAGTAAATTCAGCATTTAAAAACCATTACATGGAGATGGTAGACATTTTATCGTAAAGTCCGTTGATAACAAAAGACTTTGTTGTAAAGAGTACCAGAGTACCATAGCCATACTGTTTATAGATGCAAAGTATGTAATGTAGCTTTACATCATGATTGTAATCAAGCTTTTTATGCTTGAATCCTTCAATTGAAATATTCTGTATTTGTAAAAGAAATACAATGTATATTTTAATATTAAACTAATTACAAGTAAAGTGATTTTTAGATTTATAAAACGTTATACAGCTAAAAAGTAATCCTGCGCTCCACTCAAAAGAAACATCACACGAGTACAATCCTACTCACTAAACATCCGTAGTCTTATTCCGCTGACGTTGCGCAAACGCAACACTCACGTTTTCCAGAGGTAAGAGCATTTTTTTATTTTCAATGTAAATTTATGTAATAAATGCTTAATTTAATATTTGTTATTATTTTCATCAGAAAAGAAACATTCCTTGTAGTTTTGGCGGTTAATGGGTTAAATTGGATACTATCACTTTTGTGAGAACTTTAAATTGGATACTACAAGAAATTCAACTCAGTCATGTGGTGATTAATCGTAAGATCTGGGCTACATCTTCAGAGCAGGGGACGTAGTTCAATAAACGCTCAGCTACTTTCATGTTCAGTAACATTTCAATTTGGGTAGCAAGTGCGCCTTTTCTTATGTGTAAATAATGTCTTCCAGATTATAATTTTCAGTTCTGTGAAAATTTGAAGACAATTTTCTGAACAAAAAGGAAAGAATAATGATTCTGGATATGAGCACTAATTTAGATAAAATGAGCATAAAAAATTATACGAAAAACTGAATGTGAAATTTTTATATATATATAATTATAAGTGTGACATGTTCATCAGCAGTCCTATTACTAATTTCATTGTATTTGTAGGACAGAAATGCTATTGTTAATACAGGACAACTATGGCCAGGAGGAGTAGTGCCATACGTACATGAGCCAGGCTTGATTTCCTACCAAACCATTCGTAAGTTCTGTTCGATACATTTTCTTAAACCAAGCCAGGTTTCGCATTAAAGCATTTGCAAGCCCCATTCAAACTTGTTGAAATTTGCATTATTTTCTTGGCTAAACGCTACATTTACTTATTACAGTACAAAGTCTGAAATTCGGACTCGTCGGGACTTCGGCGATTCCGGATTTGGGATTTTTCCGGATATTAGATCATCAGTTTAAATCTAGTAAGATGGCATGTAGAAATTATTATGAAATCGTGATTTATGAAATAATGAAGTATTTATGATCTAAAAAGGTATCAAAATTTACCAAAAAAAAGCATTAATATTTATTTGTTTACCTTACTAAGCATTTCTTTCAATACTTTCTCTTTAATTCTGTAGACAAGCATAATCTTATAGTCCTGTAACTGCCGTTTCGAGAATTCCGACTAACTTGTCAATCGAAATTTTCTCGTTTTCAGTAACTTCTCTGTCACTTTCTTCACTATCGATAAGCGGTATTTTCTGGATCTAGAACAATACTACAGATTTCGCCATTCATTAATGATTTATGATTGAGAAACATTGTCATCACAATGAAAAACTTCCTTTTATATCATCTTCATTTATTACAGCTTCTCCACATTTCTTTACAAAATCGGTAAAATCCAAGGAGAGCCTACACCCTTTTATACAAACCGGGAAAGTGCAGAATCACCCACTGCTTCGTGCGTTTCTCAAAATCGCCAGCTTGAAAATAACAAGTAAAAGAATTGCACAAACTCGGTATCCATATTTTCACTTAAAAAAAATCAGAGAATTGCACAATCTTGGCATTGCACAGTTCCTTGACTCTGTCCATGTACACATCAATACGCGCCATATAAGCGGGCGCGCCAAGGGTGTGGGCTCTGCTAGGATCCAACCACAAAATCCATTAATTGAAAAATTTCACCTTTGTTTTGCGATATCCGAAAAAATTTTAAATTAGCGGCTATCATCATCAAATTTAGCTATCCTTCACTATACATATTTGGCTATGCATCACAAATTTGGCAATTAACGACAAGTTGTTCCGTTAAATTTGATCTTGCTTCAATCGCGCACTGAATTGTATTAGTTTAGTTATTTAATTATACTTATATCTATTTCTTGCACATGCTTATCAGAGTTCTCAATAAATAAATTCCCACATATACTAAATGTAATCTTTGGGTATATGGGTATCATCAACAGAATCTATTTTTAGCATATGGAAAGAAATTTTTGGTAAATTTTCCCTCGTCTACACTTTAAGCGCATTTAACTTAATTCTGTAATCATCGCCAAGCGTAATGTCAACATAAAAGGTTCCCATACTCATCTATTATTCAATTGCTAACATAAAAAAAATTATTAGGCATCGCTACATGAGTCATTACTCAAGTTGTCATGTTTTGAAACATGACAACTTGAGTTGAAACGTTGATGAAAGGAAAGTATGATACATAATGATTCGCCAGGTTGGCGTCAGATGAACAATGTATCTACAGTTAGTCACAAAAGTCTGCGTACAGACTAAATTGTAAATTAAAAAAACACTTAAAGCATAGAAAAATGTATTTTAATCAATGCATTTTTTTCTTCTATTAGCTAAAATTGTAAGCTTAACTAAAAAGTAAATAATATCAGTGTAATACTTTTTACATTTTTTCAAAAATATATTTTGTCAAAAAAACTCAGAAATTCCCTCCAATTAAGTCTGCGTACACTTTCAAAAAAAAAAAAAAAAAAAAAAAAAAAAAAAAAAGCAAAATATAAGTTTTTTACATTACTTCGATACTTTGTAGGATATCCTTTATTCTTCAAAAACAGCTTGCAGACGTCTGGGCATTGACTGAACTAGTTTTTCAGTGTCATCCGACGTAAATTTCGCCCATTCTTCCTGCAATTTACTAATTAGTTTATTTCGCGACGTAATATTGTGTTTTCGAATTCGTTTCTCCAATTTTGCCCACATTGGATTGAGGTCTGGTGACTGTGGAAGAGTACGCAACTGTTTTGGAGTGTGATAGAGGAGATATTCCTTCACAATTTTAGCTGTATGTTTTGGGTCGTTGTCTTGTTGGAAAATAAAGGTATTAGAAAGGTTTAAATTTCGGGCACTGTCTCGTAGAGTTTTCTTCAGAATATCCAGATAAACATACTTATCCATGACTTTATCAATAATGTGAAAATTTCCTAACTCCTTTCGACGACATACACCACCATACCATCACACCGCCAACTCCATGTTTGATAGTTGGATTTAAATTTCTCAGATTCAGTTCTGTTCCTGGTTTTCTCCATACAATAGGGTGGCCATTAACTTTAAATATTGTAAATTTACTTTCATCTGACCAAATTAAATTGTTCCAGAAGTCCTGCGAAGAGTTTTTTAAATATGTTTTGGCAAAAGCAATTCTTTTCTTTCTATTTGTCTCGGAAATGTATGGCTTAGACCTAGGTTTGCGTCCATGATAATTTGGACTTTCGCAGCACTTTTCGTACAGTTTCAGGAGAAATTTCCTTGTTGCTAGTTAAAAAAATGTCTTTTGCAATGCTTGCAGCAGAAAGTTTAATATTTTGTTTAATTCGTAAAAGAATTTTTCTTTCTTCTCTCTGCGTTAGCTTCTTCGGTCTCCCATATCTTGGTTTTACAGCAAGACTACCAGTGTCAAGATAGTTTTGAATAACTCTTTGCACACTAGAAAATGGTTTTCCAATGGTTTTATCAATATAACGAAGAGTTTTACCTTCATCTCTCAATTTGATAATTAGTTGTCTCGTAACTAAAGCAATTTCTTTATTGGTTGTCATTTTCGTCAAAGAAAATAGAAATAGCAACTTCCAATCAACGTGAAATTTGCTTCGGAAGTCAATGACCTTGAAAGTGTAACCTTCTTTGCATTCTCAAGTTTGAAGTTTAAAAGTTAGATAAGAAATCCCCTGCCTCCTTCGCGTTGTACGCAAACTTTATTGGCTTTAATTTCTGGCCACTTATCTTTTAAAAATTAGTGTGCATAAATTATTAGATATGAAAATATTACAGTTAAATAATTTCAAAGTCCCTTATTGAAACTAAATATTTAAAAAATAAAACTTTAAGAAACTACCCTTTTCGCACCTTAAAATTTGGATTTGATGTTACTTTTCTTGATATACAAAATTTGGATTTGATGTTACTTTTCTTGATGTACGCAGACTTTATTGACTAACTGTATGTGGAATGTTTCGGTTTGAGATGTGTGCCAAAGAAGATACGCAGCAACGGAGCCAATTTACTGATCGTACAAATTTATGCTAAAATGATTATTTCTTCAATATCATCATTAGTATTAGATTTAGTATCAAAGTGAAATTAAGAATCGGGACTGTCCAGATGTTTTATTATGCGCGGAGGGGGGGAATCAAAGGCGGCATGCGTAAAACCTACGAAAAAACCTTTGTTGGTGGTTTTGAGGTTCGGATTTTAGATCATTCTGGATAATGGACGTCCGGATTTCGGGCTTTGTACTGTATAACAGAATGCAACACTTCTCTTTATCTGTGTCTAATACTAGTCACTATTAATACCATTTTATAGCGACTAAAGGAATTTAATTCCCTTTTTTTAAAATTTTGACCGTTTTAAAGCAACTAACCCGATATAAACTTTCAGTACATTTTTCAACAAAACTTAAAAATCACTCTTTAATATTTTTTAAGGCAAAAGCCAAAGAAAATTTACATGTACGTTTTCAATTCATTTATTCTTAACATAAACAGTCTCTAACTCAACAAAAGTAGCCTTTAACACTTTAGAACAATAGTAAGGTGAATTTTGCTGATTTCCAGCATACTCAGAAGTCGTCGGCTCTCAATCTGTTATCAAGGACATTTAAGTATGATTCCAATTACGAAATCAGAAAATAACAATGACCATGTCGACTCCACAGCGTTTCGTCAAATGATCTCGCTAATAGCCATGCAGTGTTCAATACCAGGAAGTTCCAGTAGGGCTAGTGTGTCGGTAAAAGAACCCCAGAAGTAGCTCAAGAAACAAGGGCAATGAAGCATCTTCAGTCGAAGGCACAGGCAATAGCAACCTTGAAATTAAAAGAAGGAAACACCGCCTTGATACATCTTGTACTTCCACGGTTTAATGCTTGCACACTAGACACTTACCCTCTATTATGTAACCTTCAGCTCCGCGTCAAATAGGAAATGCTGATTGGAATCAAATAGGAAACGCATGGCTTACAAAGGCACAAAAAATCTGTGTCTGTTTTTTACAGAGTTGATTGTGCGTAGAAAACCGACAAAGAGTTAATATTTTGAGTCTTTTCATTATCACTGGTTATTAAAAAAAGAAATTGTACCTGCTTGCCTTTAACATTAACTATAAAACAACAGAAATTTGTGCCTTTGGTTTGCAAGACCTAATTAAAAAAAAAAAAAAAAAAAAAAAGGATTGTTTTGGCTTCTTAAAGCAAACATTAGCAGTAAGAGAAAAAAAATTACATTTCTACTCCTAAAGGCAAGGCCAAATGTTGCTACAGCTATGTGATGCGGGTTTTATTTTATTAGATAATTTTCTGATTCTTTGTATTTGTCCGAAAGCTTTCTGTCACACAAGCATTAGGTAGAATATAGATTAAAGTTACCGTATATAACAAAGTATGTAAATAATTAACATAGTAAGAAAATAATAGTTTTTCACTATTATATTCATTATTAAACTATCACTAAAATAAAGTTTTTCACTATTATTTTCTTTTATCAAAATTTCTTTTTAATTACTGTTTATACATAAGCTGTATTTATTGTCTATAATAAATCCAAAAGGATACTATAAATTTTAAAAATCTAAATTAAAATTTACAGATCCTGCTCTTTGGGCAGTAGCAGTAAGTATGTTTGAAAAGAACACCTGTGTCCGTTTTGTGCCGAGAACTAATGAGAAGGATTATGTCAGGATATTCCTTGGACAAGGGTAATATAAACAGAATATATTTTAAATTTTCATGTTATGGTTATGTGAAAAGAATGAAAGTACGAATGTTAAGATTTGCAAGCAGATGTTAAAATTTCTTTTGAATAAAAAATAATTTCTCTCTTCATTTATTCATCTCGTTAAACGGATTTCAAAATTATTGCATGTTTAAAGAAATATTTCCATGACTTTTATTTAAAAAATAAAAAAATAAGGAAGATTTTTCAAAATTTAATGGTTTTAGTCCCATGATATTTCTCAATAAAGATATATGCAATTTCAATTTTTTTACACTCCTTCTACAAAGGAATGTTAATCTTTAATTATTAATAACGCAAATTGTTTCTGATCTCGCTGAATGTCACTATTTCAATTATTTAGTTTTTAAATTAGAGTTTTATAATTTACAGAAATTTTCCTGAGCATTTGACAAAAGTAAATAAATCCTTTTTAGCGGTAGAAAGAAGGGTTAAAACATTGATTTCAGAGGCAGCGTAAAAACTGAATTTTTAAGATAAAATTTAGATTTTCGGGGGAATTTGTATCCTGTACTTATATCATTCCATTTGTCTGATGCAAAAGATTACTTTTAAAAGTTTGCATCTGAAAATGTAGGCTATTCCAACCATATGCATGGCTGTACAGTTAGATTTTGCAATTGCTCCTAATGAATTATGACCCACCAGCGGCCAAGCGGTAGAATCGCTGAACACTGGTAGTTCCGCTCGGGGTTTGATTCTAAGCAAACGAGATGGCTACATGGGTGTTTTCATGGTTTTACCCATGCGTAAAGTGTATACCAGCCAGTTTTTCTTAGAAGGTCCTCTACGAAGGCGAAGACATACTCATCTCTTCGGAAGATAGCCCTTGTGTGCTTCATGTAATCAAATAAATCAACCTTTAGGAGACCAAACCTAATGAATTATTTAAAATAATAGTATCTTTGTTAATTTTGATCTCATATGGGTATGGTTTTCTTCCTCACAAATTTTGCTTTAGAAAATATTTCCTTATTGATTGCTTTTCATGTATGAATTTAAGTTTTACATAACTTTGTTAAAAGATGTTACGCGAGTACCGTTACGAGTCTTTCAAGGATATTTTAAATCGTACACGAGTAATAAAATATCCTATACAAAGTAACGAGTATTCAGTTAATGTATTAAAAACAAGCAAAGTCTAGATCACCGTTTATATATATATATAAGAATACACTAATATTTTTTAGTAAATTTCGAAGAAAGTCACACGTTTTTGCGTGCAGCTAACGATAAAGTACAGACTATGAGATATCTAATTAAGGTCTTATAAAAGCTTGGAGCTAAGATTTATTTGACATCCGAAAAAATACTAAAAATAATTTAGAAATTAATTTAATCAAATAATACATAAACTTGAAAGAGCGCAAGAATAAAATACACAGAGATATGTTAAACAATTTATAAAATTATTTTCTTCGCCTAACAATAAAAATACTCAATAGTTACACCAGCTCTAAACCAAAATCTATTATGTTTAATAATTTGAACATAACGCAGAGATTATACACAATTACAATAAGGACTGCAAGGATAAAATTCCTCTGAATCGTATGGGATTTCCTTTCCGTTCTCTTCATTTAATGCAGTTACCAGTAAAAGTAATTTCAAGTATCTTACTAAATTGATTTATATTTGTTCTTTTCTTATAAATCATAGGAAAGGGTGGTATATGAACTGACAGAAGTTTATTGGAAGGGATGTACTCAATTGTGCAGAAAATAAAATTTTCCTCTCATAGGGAGCTGCTCTTGGATTTTTCATGCTTTAGTGGAGCAGTAAAATGTGTACCCAGAATAAGTTCAGACCAGATTATCGTTAACAAATATAATGGTAAACTAATATGAAAATAAAACAAAATAATAACAAATAATCCAAAAAAAAAGATTGTATGGGTATGCTGTATTACATTTGGATTTACTTATATAGTTACAGTCATCAGTTTTACAAAAGAAATTATATTTTATTTGGAAACATGTTAAATACTAAATCGCTGCTAAAAATTATTTAGATAGCTTTCGTTTGCACGAAGCACAGATACGACTTATCTATAAGATTATCTATAATTATCTATAAGATTTGCTAAAGTGAATCTAACACATTTTCTTCATAGCCTCAGCAACGCTTACAAATTGATTTATAATTTCATTTGTTGCTTTCAGGTGTTACTCTCACGTCGGTAAAACGGGAGGTGCACAGCCACTTTCTCTTGGTAAAGGATGTAATTTTATGGGCACAGTCACACATGAGCTCACCCATGCACTCGGATTCTATCATGAACAGAACAGATCTGATCGAGATGATTACATTGATATTCACTGGGAAAACATAAAAGAAGGTAAGCGGAATGTGTTACCAATAAGACTTCCAAAATCACTCGCAAATGGTACTTGAGCTCTTAAGTAGCATGTGTCTTGAATCAGTATGTCCCAAAATAATGTACTGTTTCGTAGTTGAATTAAAAAAGGCTTAAAACGAATCATTTTTGTGACAAATTATTGGAATGTTATTGAATAGGTTGAAAAGAATTTCATTATGCTAAAATCTAACACGAACCTAAAAAAATGAGGAAGTAAAAAGTCTGATAGCTTAATTACACACAATAGAGAACTAAAGTCAAGAGAAATCTGACATTCAAATACACAGGCGAGTGCTAAATGTGTTTCGAGAGTTAAAAATCGTTAAGAAAATATATGAAGAAATGAACAGCACGTGCCACTATAGCGAACTTGCTTTATAGCGAACCTTTATAACGAACTTGCTTTATAACGAGTCTTGAGACTATGCAGGTGATTTATCGCTTATAAGGAATGAAAATTGTTTATACTTATCGGTTTGATTTGTTCAATGTTTAAGACGCCTCCCAAGATCTGTCTTTTGAACGGGGATTTTGCATTCCTACTTTTTACAAAATTTAGAATGTTATTTATAAGGACTGTCGCAGCTTTGTTTTCCACCATACATATCTTGGAAAAATGAACGTGTTCTCATTTTACATTCGACAGGACAGATTAGTGATAAAATTTTCTTCACTTTTCATGTTTTCCAGAACAACGAAGCTTCACATACTTTTTTTAAATTAACTCTCTTCGCTTTATACCAGAGAAATTTTCTAAGTTAGAAATCCACCTATTTACCAAGCAATAAAGGTATAGCTTTCTGTACTGAAAATAATGTGAGTATTATCCGAAAAAACATAGAATGGATGTAGCCGAATCGAATACAGCTCATCCAAATCTACATTTCACACCAGGTGAAAAGATTGCGACTCACTGAAAAAAATTTGGATACGAGGAAAAAAGTGAGAAAGACTGACCTTAAGGACGTTGCAAAAGCACTGCTGAAATGGTCTGTTATTTAAAGAAGCTGCAGTCTACCAATATCTGGATATATGTTATGAGATATTTTCTACCTCCTTTCCGCATGTTTCCGTGGTATAGCTGGAAGTACAGTCAACGCGTATTTGGGAGATCCGGAGTTGGAATCCCGATGTGGACATCTCACATTTTTCCCGTTCCAAGCATTGATATAATATAATGGCTCTTACAATGTTACAAACAAAGGCTAATGAATTTGTTAAATACTTTATTGAGGATGATATTTTGTGCTCAAGTGGTTGGTTGAATAAGTCCAGGAAATAGAACAGTATTTCGTTAAAAAAATTGTCGGAGAATCAAATAAGGTATCCAGATGTTGAAAAAGTTCTTCTGAGATGATATCCCTTACCAGAACAAAGACTAAGCCATTTTATGTGCTAATGAAGCTGCTCTGTTCTACAAAATGATATCAAACAAGAATGTTAAAATATAAGAACTAAAGATGCATTGCAGGAAAATTAACAAAACTGAAAATCATAGTTCTAGTGTATGCAGATACTGAACTACATAGGATTGTTTTGTAATAAAAAACCGCAGAAAAAAAAATGCTTAAAAGCTGGGAAAATTATTAATGTTTCCCGTCAAAAGGTAATTGTAAGATATGGATGAGACCAGAATTGCTTGAGGAAGAGCTATGAAAGTAGGATTAAAAAATTTTGATACAAAAGGCGAAAGCTTCTTATATTTGATTGATAAATATACTACACATAGTTGCCGAAAACTTAGAATGAATCGATATTGTTTTACTTGCTTACTTTACTTTTAAAACAATATCGATTCATTCTAAGTTTAATTAAGGCTAATGTACTGAGGTACAGAGGTTGAAGTTGATACTTTGTGCACTATTGTCATAGAATCTCAAATCCTTGCACATTACAGTGTTTCCTCTCCTTATCAATAAATTCTTTACTGAGCTTGTCATATTTCGTTTGGTCTTTTATTGAGAATTTTTGTGTGATTTTGATAGTATCTTTCATCGAGTAGTTCTATGTGTAGAGTCGAGTAAATCAGTAACTCAAAGCCTTGTTGGCAGCCAGCAGAAGAAATAATGAGTTTATTGCTGATGTATCGGCACCGTAAGGCACACACATTTACTCAAGTGCTAAAAAATGACAAATAGTGGGTCCAGTATAAGATTTCCAAGCCTAACGTCTGCCACGACGTACCTCGGTGCCTCTCATCTTAAGATCATCTCTGAACGCACACAAGATCAAGCTTAGTGTTTGCTGGACTAGTTGCTACAATTGATACAATACTAGCTACTGCTGCGAGCGACGCTATCACTCAGGACTCGTTGCAGTTGCAGAGGGTACAACATGTATTGCAGAAGGAATTAGCGTTTGTAAGTCGCTAGGTTGTACTGTACTTCTACAAGAAAGTGAAATCAGACCTGGCAAGGATAATTTAGGAATACCTATTCAGCGTCTTGGATAGGAGACACTGGGAGCGCTGAGATTAGAGCCTACAAACAAGAGAAATCCTTCAACAACGAGGCAGATCTGCGGCACGCACTTACGAATTACTTTGTGCCCACTCTACAACATTTACGAATCCCTTCGCAAGTTGTATCGAGAGGGCATTGCACAGCTGGAGGAACGTTGCCAAAAGGTGCTGGGAGATTACTTCGAAATGTAATGCTGAGTATTTTGCGCTTAATGTCTGCTGTTTCTGACGAACACGAACGGCAGGAACATTTTTGGTTACTTTGTTGTAAATGTTTTTTACACCACGTTCAAAAAATTTCGTATGCCGCCTGTAGTTCTGCAACGATTGTTCACAGACATATACTGTCAGTTACGATAACGTTTTAAATAATGCAAATGTTCATGATTTGGCATTTTAAAATTAAAAAATTTAATTTTGTAAAAATTACGAAATTTTACACTTTATAAGGTACTCCGACTCCTACAATTATACTTAGTAAGAGTTTATACTCATCAAGGAAAAAGTTAAACATATATGTTTCATTCTCGTACGATAAAAGTTGATCGAGATACAGTATAATTTCAAATTTGGCATTTTAGCATTTTATTTCACTTTCCTTGAAGGGTACTTAAAAATGAGTTAAGATAAATTGAGATTGATGTTTTTCTTTTAGTATCCTTCAATTATTTCTTTTTTGTGTGATTTACTGGTTAGTAACATTCTCTAATTTATAATTTTATTGCATATGGTATGTCTAAAGCGTTTTCAGACAAGTAGTTCAAAATCTTTTAGATACTAAAAATACATCAACAATATCCACATGCAGTTTTTTTTTATCTTAGGATTGTGATCTAATAGCCAAATAAGGAAATGAAAAGGTTTAGAAATTTTCCTCACTTTTAATTTATGTAAATAACGTTTTAAATTAGTTATATGCTATTACTGAAGAACACGAATTCTGTAAATACATTCTTTTTGGAAAAACGTCTGTTGATCAAAACGTTTTAGAACGATAATCATTACTTAATCTATTAACGTTAGAGTTTCGAACCTCATATTTCATTTCTACAAGTCTTCCCTTTGTACATGACCCTTGAAATGATATTAAATTTTAAAATTAAATATTTCGCTCAGGTTCTGATTATGGGAGTTAAAATGTTTTATAGTTTATTTTTTACAATGAGAATAAAATTTTACTAAACGTAATTGTACGGACTGAAGATCGTATAAAAAGTTACATTTCGTAATTTTGATAGAATTGATTTTTTAAGTTTAAAAATACCGTAACATGAATGTTTTTCTTATTTGAAGCATTTTTGTAAGTAGAAATACACATCTACGACTAATGCTTACAAAAATAAAGACAGCATAGCGTCTTTACTGAAGAAGGTGTACTGAAGATGTAGGAAAAAAACATTTATGCTGTATAAATACCAGATATTATAGCCATTTTGGTTATAAACGTGTTTAAATGTCTATACAATAGCTTTAGAACTTAAAAAAGGTGTTTATTTATTGGTGCTTCACTGAAAGTTACTTCTTAAATAACTGCGTGTTATCACTGAATACGATCAATTTACAAAAGTACACATGAAAAATTCAACATATTTTATTTTACTATATTTAAGCTAGATATAAGGGAGGGCCTTAAGGGTCGATTATTTATCGACTGCACGTGTTAACAATCGTATTTGCTGCTTTAAAACATAAAATTACTAAAATTAAATTCCCCAAAACAAAACACTTGTTTTCTATCCTTAGTTGTTCCTATAGAAGAGGTTCACTTACCTAAGATGACAAAGAAACTAATGCGGTCTCTGACCATTAGCAATTTTTTTCCAATGCAAATAGTTAAATAGGCTGTAGCAACCATGAACATCACCTTGGCTTTTCGCGTAACGTGGCTATGAGCTGCAATAACTTTTACTAGCTTTAAACATCTTTGCGCGTACTTGAGTTTCTGAACGAATATATATAACGGACAACAACCAGCAGATGGTCAATAATTACTAACTGACGACTACCATATAAGTTTACACCATTAAGAAGCTCAAAGAAAACATCTAAAGGGAAATTTCTTATATTTATAATTAGGAAGGCCACGGTTGAAAGATCAGGAAGCTTTTCGGCTAGATATTAATCTCAAGGCATTTAATTTGTCCACCAAAGCTAACAGAATCTGCAAATAATTTTAAAGCCTCTCGTTCTCATATTTCTTCGTTATTTAAAATGTCACGTATCTTCTATAGAAATCATTGACTTTATTCACTAAGAAATGGAAAAATCTGATCATTTTAATATCTGTTCGAAATTCAACATGGCTTTAAACTCAAATTCAAATTTAAAATAGGTAATAAAAATAATGGATTTGTTTATGGCCGTAAATCAAACAATGTTTAAAGCTATAATGATTTTAATATCTGAAGAAAATATTGTGTGCTTGCATATGAGTACATTAAGTATATTTTCAAACTCAAGCATTTTAAACTTTATTTTTTAAAATTAACTAGCGTTTTTCATTTAAAGATGCGTTATGTCTTATTTTATTTCTTCACTTTTGCTTGAATAATTTGATTTACATTCGTACTCAGTATTATAATGATATCGTATATCAAAGCCATTGCCAATATTACGCTGAATATCACTATTTATTAAAGTTGGCACTATTTATTAAAGTTTACAATTATAGTTGTTAATTCTGTTATTATCCCAACCAGGAATGGAGGACCAATTCATGAAATTGAAACCTCATCAAAATCAACTGTTGACGCCGTTCGATTATGATTCTATTATGCTGTATGGGTCTTATACCTTTTCCAAAGATCGCAAGAATAAGCTCATGACCATGACGGGTAAAGGCAATAAGTATCTACAAGAAGTGGTCCATAAGTACTTCATGAGCAAGAGTGATTTTTTGAGAATAAACAAGTTATATAATTGCACTGAACATTTAAAGAAAATGTAAAATTTAAATGTATCTTAATTTGTTGTGTACATTTTGCTAAATTAAATTTTGGGGAAATAAACTCTGAGAATGTTTTTATTTATTCAACATCTCTTAAGAAGCCATACATAACATGTTGCGCAATATCTGCAGTAGTTGTTGGAGTGTTTCAGCATTTTTCATTTAGATTATCCAGAAACCTAAAAAATCTAAAAAAAAAAATGCTTTGTTTAAAGAAGCGAATGAGACAACAAATAAATAAATAATAAACAAATATAGTTCGACAAAAATTTGAGGAGCATTTGAATTAAATATTTGGGGATCTCTTAAACAATAGGACCTTAGCAGTAACTTGACCATTGCAGCAACCTCCTACGGGATGAGAAATCTCAAGGTTCTCAAAAACAAAAGAGAAAAACAGCAAACTCTTAGTGTTGCTTGCAAAGTGCTGTGTTAAATAACAGAAAATTATCGTTTTATATATTTTTTAAACTTTGATTCATGGTGCCGAACACACTAACTCAAAAATATAATATAAAACATCATTCATAACAATCATATATCATATCGAACTTCTTATAAACATTCGTATAGTGGTAGTACAATTTAACTTTTAAGTTTGCGTTGTGAGTAACCTATTCAAAGGAAAAATCAATAACCCCAAATCAATTAAACTCCATGTTCTTAAAGCCTCCCGGCTCAAACAAATGGAGGGACATTACAACACAGTAAATTATACACAAATAAATACACAATGCAATTAAATTTTAAACACACATTTATTAAATTCTTGACTATTTTATATAATTAAATAATGGATATGATCAATCCTACCACATTTTTCTACAAACTAACCATAATACTACACCAAATTACAGCTACATTAATTAAGATTAACATTATCAAATTCTACTGTATCATAAGTTGAACACTAGTATTTCTCAATTTCATCTTCTAATTTTAAGTATTTATATGGAATTCACTTTAAGAACACTGATAATTTCTACACGATATTAATTTAAGTAATTTCTCAATTTCAACAACATAACCGACGACTCTGCTTGAGTATCAAGATAATTAAAGTTAAAAAATATAATAATAAAAAAAAAAAAAAACACGGGGGAAGTCCATACCGCACACTAGGAATACCTTTGTAACTGATTAATAGGTGATTGACAGCTCCACATCGTCCAGCGGCCAACGTTTACTCCAGCGCCACATTATTCCTGCTGTCTTTATTCACAAAATCCTCGTTCCTGGAGATAGACATTTCTTGCGAATTTAACGATGACTTGGTGAAACCACTGAAGCTGTCTTACAATAATAAATTCCAGAGCACGGAAGGATGAAAATCGACGCAGCTGACACAGCAGAAAACAGCATCGCACACCTTAGCGGATCCTACACGAGTCTCTTTCATTCTGGAAGCATCGAAACCAAATAACGTAGAGCACCTTTAAACAGTATGTAATAGGAAGTCAGTCGGGAAAACAGGAACCGGCATCCGGATCACAACGAGAATCTGCATTTCATTCTTGGGACAAGAGAATCGAAATTCTTCTGCTGAGCTCTACGCCTATGCCAATGCAAATTCTCGCCAGCTAAACGCCTAGAGAAAATCATACCTGCTGCCCACCACGGCTTGCGAGAAGCAAGACCCGAAGGGTCAAGCCCCCCCTTTTCTCCTCTTACTCTTCTTGAAAAATCAGAATCAGAATAATTTTTAGCCTGGTACAAGCACCCAGGAAATCTCAGTTTCTCCGCCTCTGTGAGTTTATAGGCTTTCAAAAAATCATCAAATTAAACCTTACTAATGCCGGAATTTTACGTTATCTAAATTGAGAAAATGACACACCTATGATGAATCAAACACCAAAAAATCTGACAATGCAGTCCGAAAAAAAGGTACCACAACTGAGAAAAAAATGGACCCCCCAACTAACAAGCGAAACTAAGCTTTACGAGAACCCAATTACCTAAACTTAGTACACTCCCTCACTGTCTTGAAGTAACAAAATTGAAACTCTAACAAAGCGAAAGCAAGACGATTTCCGTTTCACATGCCATTAGAAAAGGCGAAACAGAACATCCTACTGCCTCCACTGTGAGTAAAAAGGCCATAAACCAGATGTGTTTCCTTGCGACCGTCTCTCGCCTTTGTTACAGTTCCTACTCAAGAATAACGCGTTAAATAAAACCTTAAGAGCTTAAGAATACTTTTTTCCAGATTAAAATACACATGAATACAAATAAAAATATTAGAATAATAATGACTTGAAACACATATTAATAATTGAAATTCGCGACATAACAGCTGGTTTATATACAGATTTGAGTTTCGCAATATAAGGAAATTAAACATTTAATTAATTGAATTCATTGTTAACTTATAACTTCTAATGCTGTTACTTGCTTTTTTGCAATTTTTGAAGAACAAGGTAATATACGTTTTCTAAGGAGTATGGAAACAAAACTTACCGCGATGATATGAACAAAATGTTTCAAGTTTTATGCATAAAGATGAACAACTGTAAGATTTTCCTTAAAAAATTAAGTAGACATCACATGCCTACCTTGTACAGTTTATTAAACTATGCGCAATTTTTGTTGCATTTCATGTAAACTGATTTTCCCGAAATTATATAGAGATGTATTTCTCATTCAATCAATTCAGTTCTCACTTCGCGGCAGGGAAAAAATACGTAAAAACACATACAAATTGTAAAATACAGAAAAACATAAAACACCAAACAGGGTTAAAAACCGTTAAAAAACGATTTTTACAATTAAAATTAGAGTTGAAGTTAACTAAAATTAAGCAAAAGGCAGATTTTTTGGTGCACAAAACTTTTGGCACCACTCGGCAAAAGACACTGAAATTGGTGCAGAAACTGACTTAATCCACTATACTACTAAGTTTCACGCGTGAACAAATGACGGCGTCGGTAGGCTTAGTGGAACTTAAACAACTCTTATAATTCCAACAACTGTTGCACGCAGATTAACTGAAGGCATAAATACCTTAACCGAAACATAGCAAAAATATAATTCAACCACTTTTATGCACAAAATGCACAATTTACTAACATATAAGAATAAAAAACTTAGCTCCCCGAGCCCCGTAACAGAGTGGGTATATATATGTGTGTGTAAGATATAACAAATTACGACAGCTGCTTTAAAAATAATTGGTGATCTCAAAATTAACATTTTAGATTTGGTGCTCTCCCACTAAATTCACCTGTTCTCTCAAATTCGAGATTTTTCTATGTTATGTAACGCTACTGGAAAATGGCAACTAAAACTAATATTAACCAATCACAGACTAGCTCTACTTATACCTCAGATTTAGTATAAATAAATACCTTGGCGAGCTTATTACGTCATTATTCTGCTAGCTTCTACATTTTTAATATCTCTTCGCTTCGCTCCTTTAAATTGCCTGCGTCATTCCTTGTTAAAAACCAATGTACATAGCAATTTATCATATTTCATTATGATTGAATCATAAAACTGTATCGGATTTAATTATGATTGGATAAATATCTACAGAGATGATTTTATATGAGTGGAAATAAAGACTGGAAATTCTTCAAGTTCATGTTTATCTTCATCTGTAAGCCACAACGACTGAAAGCTCGTTCCTCTTCTTTGTTCTAAAAATATTACATATATATACATATATTTATATATTTTTGGTGAGGCCGATTGCAACCAAAAAGTGGAGTGCACATCTACATGTTATCTCATGTACAAAATTTCAATGTTCTGCAGCTATACGTTTTTGAGTTATGAGAGATACATACACACGTACGTACAGATATACACAAGTGCGAGCAGACGTCACGAAAAAAAATCTCTTCTGAGTCCATTTTAAATTCATTTGACAATCCGTTTCGCGAAAAATAGTCCTTTATTCTGTCCGTACGTATCGAAGTAAAAGCATCGTTTAAATGGAATCGAGAGCGGTCAAAATGGACATTTTCTTTTCCCGAAAGTTTTTGAGATTACAGTACTTCCTTCACACAAGGAAGTTAAAAGTAAGTCTACTGTTTTTCCTTAAAAGAGTAAATGATACTAATAAGGAAAAGAAACAGAACTTGAAAATATTGTGACGGATAACACATTTAACTGAAATAGTTAAGCTTTTGGAAATAAATATTTGTTTTGTGTGGAAATAAATATTTCTGGCCGGCACTTTAAAATTCAATTATAATTATTTGAAATTTTTGAAATAAAATTGAAAGAAAATTAGTCTTAAGTTTGAAAATTTTATTTATAGTGAAAATACAAGAATACTTTAATATCTCAGTGAATTTATAGTAAAATAAGTGACAAAAGAAAAAAAAGCTTCATTTATAGAAAAGTGTTATTACCATAACTGTCGAATTGTAAGTTTAAACATATTCCTGGGAAAATCCTATTCCTGGGAAATAAACATCTGGTGATGTTTGAACTAGAATCACATCTATGGGAGTAGAAACATGTGCATATGATTATCGTATTATTATTTAATGGTTGAATCTCTTCACTGCTTCTTCTGAAAAGATATTAGAAATATCATCTTCACATTTACTGTGACCCTTTAGCATCAACAATGACAGCAGTTTTATTGCTTTCTTGTGCCCTATTGTGGTCTAGCGGCAATATTGCTGCAGCACAAGGTGAGTCTTTTTACAAATGTTTAACTGCATAAATTATATCTTTAAATTTCATAGGCTGAGGAAATTTTATACTGATCTTTGAATTTTACACTGAAATAAAAGGAATTCAGAAATCTGTCCTGGAACATTTGTCAGATTCAAATATTTCATATTTTCTGAAACTGTATAATGTATATTTCTGGGTATCTGATAAAGTACGCATAATCTGCATTGTACAAATCATGGAAAATCTATGTAAGAGATACACACACATACAAAAAAAAAAAAAAAAAAAAAAAAAAAAAAAAGCATAAAATAAACATATATTATTTCACAATACACTTAAAAAGGAAATTTTAAATTAAGCAAATATATTATTAAAGCCGCACAGTATGGTGTGGAATTAATTAAAAAATCATACGATAATAATTAAGTTATTTGAGGAAATATAAATTGTGACCGTAAACTGAAAGTGAAAAAATATTTTCACCCTGAGATATAAACCTTTTGTTATTAAAGCTAGAAAAATATAAGAACTGATGTAACCGATTAAATAAAAGAATGATAATACACTCATTATTATATATATGAACATTAACGTAAGCATTAGCGCTAGTTATTAATTTTAAAAACTCTTTATGCCCCTTTATTATTATTTTTACTTCCCCTCTCTGTCTTAGAAATAACGCCATAAATATAAACTGCGTCATTCAAATTAAACATGCGATTTTACGTAACCCTTAATGCAGATATCTCTTGCCTAATCAAAGTAATTTGTAAACTAAATTTGTAAACCTTTGAAGTGCTGCGACACTCTTGCTCTTTTCGCTTAAGCTTTCATCCTGCTAAGATGCTTTGCTGCAATCATTTATGTGTTGCTATGATAGCTTCTACCGGTATAGTATCAAAATTGTGAATGTTCTGTGAATGGGTACCATTGGAGTGCCAAGTGAATTGTGGCCACAAAATGTGAATTTAAATAAATGTGGAATTTATTTAATATTCTGCTCGACTGCTTCGATCTACTGAGGATTCGGCTTGACTGCTTCTTCTTCAAAATGGATGGACGCTCTAAGCATCAAGTAGCTACTCCATCAGTATTTCGACGTTTCCAAGTCTCAGAGTTCTCACATCAATGCTAAAAAAATATTACATTAATTAGCGGATAGGATTGAATTACGTGCTACTAGCATAAATGGAATTATTCCTCAATTGGATTTCTGTAAAATAGTATCTGCAAATTCATCATTCTAAAAGTTAGTCATCATCATTTCTTCGAAATTTATGCTATCATTACATATATATATTTAGATAGATAGATAGATAATGAATAAAAATAAAACCGTTCAGTACCCGATCAAGTTGCACACTGAAAGCAGCATGAAATTGTGGTAATAATGCAAAATAAATTAAAAAATAATGCGTTTAAAATTGATCCTATATTCGCTTCGGAATAAACATATGAAAGAAAGAAAAAGAAATAAAAACCCAGAGGCACAGCGACAAACTGCAAGAGAAAGGAGGGAAAACATGCCACAACTAAAAATGAAATGAGAAATTTACGTCTTTCGCTGCAGCAACATCGGGAGTTGGTGCAACGAAACAAGTAAAAAGTAACCTGTCTCAGAAAGTTCATAAAAGTATTCTGTGTCTTTCTCAGTCCAACCCCTATAGGCTAAATCTTCTTACTGCTGTTTTAGAGCACAACTAGATTAGATTTTGAACTGCGTTTTACTTTGTATTTAATCCTACACACACACACACACACACACATATATATATATATATATGATATAATAAAAAATCAAAATAAGCTTTGCAGTCATATTCTCAAAATGTCTGTAGTATATTAATAATGTAACATGGCATACAGTCTAAGATAAAACGTCTGTAAGTATTCTCTATTTCTATTAAAAATAGTTGCCTAGTAGTATTAACAACTAGTAACTAAATAAGTGATGAAAGTCATTTGAAACCAAACGGTATCTTGTAAAATTATGCAAACACTTCATGATTTGCATTACAGAGTATTATGTACTATTCCACGAAATCACTACAATTATAATAAATGAATGGCTCTTATAAAAACAATGCAAATACTTAATCGAGAATTATGAGAAAGAAATAATAAGAATTCAGAACATAAGATAATTCACACTGCTACATGCAAATTCTAAACTGCCCTACTGGAAAGCATCCCTCGTTTTAAAAGATGGTGCTCACTTCCTTTGCCATAATAACCTAACCTAATGAGTCATACATAAGCTGGCGTGAACATATTAATATTTATTTCAATGTTGATCCTAGACGTAAACTTCCATATGAAAGATTCTTAAAGCGGGAAACTTTGTAAAAATCCTCCGACGTTGTAAGTAGCTCTGAAGAAAGTAACATCGGCTATTTCCAAACATTCTGTTTAGAGTAAAACTGTCTGCAATGATATAATTATATGCTCTAATGAAGTGCTAAGAAGTGTTGTATATCTTTACGTAAGAAATTTGTGGATATGTCAGACTTCCATGAAAACGTATTGCCTTTTGAATAAAGTAATCCCAAATGAACGATAAAGTTTCCACTTGAATTTTTACTGATTCTTTCCAGAGAATAATGCAACTAAGGTTGAAATAAATTTTTATATAAAGGTTAGATTTCGTTCAAAAATAAAAAATAGGATCTCTCGTGAAGAAGCACGCAATATGTTTCTTTGAACTGCTACAGATGGCGCAGTAGGCGTATCACGTGGTCTCATCAGAGCAGGAAGTTTTCTGAAATTACAGTACAACGTAGCGCTAATGAAGAAGCGTTGTTTTATGCGATTGCTTTTCGTTAGAACATGGGGAAAATGCAAGAATGTGACAGAATGGCAAAAAGGGCCACCAAAGTGAATCATGTTGTCAAATTTGTTAGTGTTTGGAAGCAAACTATCCAACATGTCTAGAAGGAGTGACCATGAAACATGACAATAGATGTGTGGTCGGAAAAGAATTCTAAGCCTGAGGAAGCAAGCCTGAACTAATTGCAGGGCTTTTGGATACAGATCGCTTTCAAATACGACAAGAATTGCTATAGTCAGAGAAATAAAATCCATCCCAACATGTTTCTAAATGGACATTGTGACAGGATTTGCATACATTGAGTATGTGGAGTCTATATCGCAACATGCCCTTACGCATAGACAAAGACGCAATGGACCAAACATCACCGAGTTGAGACAGGTTCAGGTTGAAGTGCAACGGACACTCATTGGTTAATCATTGCAATGTGGGTATTGTCCAACTGCACTATCAGTCTTTATTTGAATATTATATTTGAAGAATTTTGACACATTTACAATTTTACATATAGTTAAAATATAATTGTGACAGTCGGTGCTGTTCGTACTTATAATACATAATGGCAAATCCATAACAGTGTTTTTACATACATATATAATAATATGATTCTATACATGTATGCAGAGAGCATTTTGTACAGTTACATGCAAAGAGTTCATACCGTATATTCTGAGAGCATTTTGTGCAGAGAATACGTGCAGAGAATACTTATCAAATATATGAAGAAAACATTTTGCATGTAAATTATTTTTCAGAATATTTTTAATCTCTTTTTTTAGGGGGATGATGCAAATAATTGTTGTATGATCCTCTTTGTATACTTTCGTCGGTTTTGTTTTTCAGTATTTTTGTCAAATAAGTCGTTTTATCAAATCTAATTTAAGTTTTTGGAAATTTGAGTGCGTTCATTATTTGCGTAGCTTGTTCATTCAATAATAATTCTTCTCCTGTACTAGAGAGGAATGTGATTAAGAGTTCTTTATTTCTTCTTAGGGGTTTGGGTTTTGATGCTATTTGCGGGCACTGATATATATCAGTCAGTTTTAAGTGATAGTTTTCTGTTTAATAGGCCTTTGATGATCTAGTGGTTAGGATGAGTCCTTTCCCCACATATATATGCTGAGCAGCTCATTCTGCAGCCCTAAGAAGAATATAGAACTCTTAATCACATTTCTCGCTAGTAGAGAGAGACAGTAGATAACGGAAGACACGTAATGTGGCCCGACAGATCAAGATTTTATCTTTTTCAAATGATGTACGGAGTCGAATAAACCGACGGCCCAATGCAGCGTTTAATCGTAAATGTGTGTAAGGTTGTAGTTAGGCCGGCGATAGAACTGTATTGTTTCGGTTGCGGTTGTGTATTTCATATTATGACGTAAGCCCACTTGTCGAAGTGAGCGTTCGCATGGATTAGCATGTTTATTAGAGCATTCTCGAAGATCACCTGTCGCTCTTTAGTCAACATCTTTGTGAAGTGTAAGCTGTCGACACTCTCATATTTCAAGACCACAACAGTATAGTTCATATCGCTGCACGCATACGTGATTGGCACGCTGAAAATATAGTAAGTACTCCAGCGAATGCGCTTTCCCGCTAAGTCTCCGGATCTTAGACTTACTGGAAATTTTCGGGGCATTTTGGAACAGAAAGTGAAACGCCACAGTCAGCAGCCCTACAATGCGATTTTACCATGATTCAGATTACAATGATTAAGTCATCAGCGACTACAAAAGGTTGGATCTACAAAAATGCAGAATCTTGTAGCCTCTCTGATCGAATGCAAGCAATTATCAGGGCTAGAGATGTAGTCACTCGGTGCTAAGAGGATTTCTCTAGGGGTTACTAATTGTTTGTTCCGTGAGTTTATTTTAAATCATTTAAAATTTTCTTCATTTCTTTTAATAAATTTTCGTTTATTTACAAACGAAAAACTTCAAAAATTTGTAACTTATTTTCTTTTTATCTCATTTCAGTAAATTTGGGTGATATACCTATCGAGAACCCAGACTTATTTGGAGGTGATATATTAGGCGTAGATGATGCTGAGGTAAGTAAATCTGAGGCTACAAAATTTTGAAAGAAATTGTTTGAAATTTTTTTGTCCTCACATAATATAAGTAATAGGATCCATAATAAAAAGCTGAAATTTTCAGCTGTAAATTAAACCGAAAATTGATTAAATAATTAATTTATCAGCATATGCGTTGTTTGTTGTAACGCTCTGCAGTCTAAGTGACCTTATACTAGCTTCAAAAGAAAGAAATTGAAAAAATAATAAATGAAAGGGAATATTTTTATCATGAAAAAATATCATAATATGCATAACATATGCTGTCATAATTTTCATGCATTTTAAAATTCCCAATAATTCCTTATTTATTAAATTTTGATGAATATATTTCTGTTGTGATTCGTATAATTCGTATCGAGAATTTAAAAAAAAAAATCTAAGAATATTGCTTTACATCTGCGATTCCAAGCATATTTCTGATGTAGTTGTCATATAATCTATTACGCTTGTTACAAATGTTAATTTTGATTTAAAATACGATCACCTATTACTCGTAGGATGAAATGTAGTTATCTTTCATTGCTAAGAATCTAAGGGTCGCAGCATTTCAAATAAATAGTAATAGTTACCATTTCAGCTAATAACTTTGAATGATAATTTTGCCATTTCTCACTTTAGAATTTTTTTCACGTAAAATTTGCACATTTTCTCATCAAATTTATTTTTTATGTCACTGAAAGCTGTGTAATTTCTTATTTAAAAAATCTCATTCGTTTTGTGCGATGGGATATTCTCAGTTTCCAGACTTTCTATGTTTAATTCCGCATACAATATTCTAGCTCTAGAGTATTAGCAGCATTATTGCCTTTTAATTCGCCTACAAACTGCACATAAACTTAAGATACTGACATTTTTCATTTTCCCTCAGTCATAAATCTTCAGTTTTAAATCACATATGATTATAATCTTTATTAGTCCAAAGGGGCTTTGTCCCTGAGGGACTATTGTTTTAGTTTTGCGATTCTCCGTCCATTCTAAATGTCCGTTTCATTTTTCAAACTGTTGCCACCAAATATTATTGCCCTGTATTATATTTGAAGAAATTAAATAATGAAGAATCTGCATAAATGTATGTATGTTTTTCGCATTGTGATAAAACAACGGTACCTAGAGCCATTCAATTTGGAATGACGTAATCCTACTGCGAATATAGGCATGTGGAAGCCCAAATTTGAAATTTGGAATTTGTTTTATTATTGATTTCAATCTTGTTGAATCTAGAAACCTTGTCTAGAAAATAAAGTGAGATAGGCGAAATTTTTCAGTTATAAAGTCCAGTTATACATTAAGAGCCTTGTTAAAAACATTGCTTATAGTTTCTAGCTTTTCAAATAAGTTTCCTTATTTTTCGTAGCTAATTAGACACCCCTCCGATCTGTTCATATTTGGTAAGTGCCTCATTTGCTTCATCCTTATCCTGCTCAAATGACATAATATAAAGAAAAAAGAAACGAAATCATAGCAAACGATGAAAAGAAACGAAATCATTGCTCGAATGATTAGCAGCAACGCAGCATTAATATTTATATAAAATGGCAGTATTGGGGTGTGTGACTCCAATCTTATTTTATTTGACAATATTGTTATTATTATTGTTATTATTATCATCATCATTCTAGGTTAACACAAAAGCATAGAAATTATAAAAAGAGTTTAAGTCAAGAGCGCTTGAAAAATATTCATTTTAAAATAAATTAAAATTGTTTCATATGCATTTCAAAATAAACACGTTGGGTTAATACTTCTGTTTTCAGGATCGCAATGCTATTGTTGACAGCCGACAGATATGGCCTGGAGGTGTTGTACCCTATGTAGAAGATCCTGGATTAAAGGCAACAGTATGTGAGTGAAAATTTCTAAATGATTTTAATTCACACTTTCTACATTTTTAAAGCTTTTTGGATGATAATCCAGATGCGGGCCCAAAAGGGTTCTGAATGCACTAGTGTTATTGGATTTGTGAGCTGAAGTCCTTTACTGTTCGAAAAATTACTTCCAGAAAAGCAGTCAAATAATTTTAGCCATGTACGCTAAATTATATTCACATAAGGAACTTTTTACACGTATTTTATTTAATGGTAGGCCTTTTTCTATGAAAACTATTTCGGTCTAACACAATTTAAGCATCACTTATAAGAAAGACCATTTGAACTTAATTCTTCTAAAATATTCTTAATAAAAAAATGTCATAAATCAACTTTTATATCAAAGTTGGGTGATTTCATAGTCATATTTTCTGAAATATGTTTAACTCTAAAGATAAAATTAGCAAAAATGAAATGTAATTCAGGAATAAATTAGAATAACTTTGGTGTTGTCCTTTAATGCGTTTCAAATTATTCATGCCGTTTGTATGACAATCCAACCGAAAGTAATATAAAAATCGGCTGACTATTTTTATTAAGTGATACAGATTGTCCGAGTTTTACATTTTACAACAACTCTTCTTTTTCAAATGTACAATTTCAAGCTTTAATACAATCTTCATTACAAGAAAGGCATTTGGGACATCACTTAACCAAGCTCTGAAATTTCTTTCGGCGAAACTTCAGATGTGCATTCACTTCTTTGCAGCTTTATCTATTTTGTCTTCGTAGGCTGACCTTCGTTTAATCAGAAATCAGAATGATTTTCTGTACTGGTTGTTGGCTGCTACATAAATTTTTGGCCTTAAAAAGAGGTTGTTAGATGATATATTCTTTGTATCTGGATCATAAAGGTGCAGTATGTGTCATCTTCAATCCCAAATTAGGGAAAAAAGTGCTTCCAATTTAAATCAGCAAATGACTGCTTTTTCTCCTGCATGTTGGTTATGAGTTGCTCAGATACCTAATTAATACATATTTTATGGTAAGCAGAGTCTTCTGTTGCATTTTGAGCAAATACCAATTGTGTAGAAAGCTCAGGGACTGTTCTCCCCAATTCGGTCATCCAAAACTGAAAATTAGTATCCTTGAATTAAGTTCATAATTTCTTCCTGCATAGTAGTTTATCTTCGCTACTGATTTTACCTTTAAACTTCTTGATCTATCTATACATATGGCTCTTGTTAATAGTGTTATATCTGTAAACATCTTGAAGCTTTCTGCGCAATATGGGAAGGATTGTACACTTCTTTTATAAGGAATTCAATGATAGCATATTCACTTCCGTTACTTACTACCCGGAACAAATTATATAACTACACAAGCACATGCTTGTGTAGAAAAAGAGTCATTCTAATAATACATGGAACCGAGAAGATACATGTGTTATTAGATTAATTGATAAAGAAGTTAGGCCAAATTCTGAATTTCTTTCGGTTTCAAACATAAGATGATGTAATTATAGAAGTATGTGTAAAATGCCGACTGAAGTTTAGAAATCCTCATAAGATAGTTTCTCAAATTGCATAAAGCATAAAATTAAACTTAAAGAAAAATGTAATTAAAATTGCAAACTAAAGTTATATTTTATTAATCTAAAATTACTGCCTAATTTCAAATGCTTTAGTTCATAGATGAAAATTGATATTAAAATCAGTAATTAAATTTAATGAAACGTGAGAGTATGATAAAATATTATTTTCTTTTTTTAATAATAAAGCTTAGATTCTTAAAAGTTGATTAAACTTCTGCTGTCATATTAAACGTTTCTGAACATAGTTTAACTTAAATTTCTACAGGAAGTTCTTATTCAAGAGTTTAGTTTGTAGAGACATTAGGATTTTTTGGAAGTAGAAGTCTTGAAAAATGAGTCACGCCTTCGTCGGGAATCGAATCACGGACCTCTGGAGTTCGCGCCCAGCGTGCAGACCGCTACACTACGAAGGCATGCTAAGAAGGCGGGAGAAATACCTTATAAGTTAGCTTACATAAGAAAACAATATTTATAGTGACCGTAAAATGTATTTATTAATAAATTATTTATGTTATAAATATACTTACGATAAATAGAATGCGTCTGAGAACCAGCAATAAATGTACATGAATCGGTACTGAAAGTACAGACACCCCCACAGTTAATTTTCAGAAAACTCCATTCAGATAAATTTTAATTTAATATCCAATCAACAGTTTCTGTTCCTAGCTGGTTAACTAACGGTAGTAGCGACCAATGCGTGAAATAATTTGTAAGAAAAATAAGCAACAGAAAACCCTTTTCTAAAGCCAATCAGCAGCTTTTAACAAGTGGCAAGGGATTCCACATCTGCATTAGATGAAGCATAGATCAAATTATTTTCCCCCTTCGTTTTAAACGCTCAGCGTCACACATTTAGTTACTCGAAACGCTGGATTTTCTTTTCGAAAGTCAAGGACCTCGTAAAGAAGATAAAAATATTTTAACTGTTCTAAACAACTTTTAGTGAAAACTAATTAAGTCTTCATAGGTTGAAAGAGGCATAAATCACGTGATAAAGCGGAATTGTAAAATCATGTTTAATTTGCGGTCAAGTTATTTATAAAGAAAAAATTGTAATTGACCACTTATAAAATACATTGATTTTAAAAGAAGTGAAAACTTTAAAATGAAGGAACTAATTAATTCTTTAGAAATTAAGTAAAATAATTTAATTACTAGTATTTTTGCTGGCTATTACAATACAAGGCATCACAAGTTTGTAATAAAACGTCAAATTTCTTAAATACATAGTGTTTGATTTTAACTGTAGAATATTAATAAACAAGTCAATTGATTAAGAACTCGGAGAAAAGTTTTTCCGTTCTGTATGTTCAAAATTAAAGAACAGAATAGAAAAATTAAATACATTACAATGTTATCAGAAGTAAGGTGTTCTATTAAAGAGGTAATTATTGAAAACATGAATTAAACTCCCCATCGTAATTTCTAACTTTTTATCATGCTAATGGCAACTTTAATAACACACTGCAAGTTTTTTACAATACTAAAATCTTATTGAAATCGTTTCTGTTTTAGTTAAGCTGACGTTGCAAGGAGCTTTCGATCAGTACAAAAGGGACACCTGTATTCGATTCGTTCCTAGAACAACTGAGAAAGATTATATCAGGTTATTCCCTGGACAAGGGTAAGAAAATTCTTAAATCTTTAGCATATTCAAAACAGCACAACAAATGCGATTGCAAGCGTATCTGTAAAGTCATGTTTAAGGCTAAATATAAACACTAAGAAATTTTTTAACAGTATTCTGAAACTATATAAAATGATAATCAAAATAATATTACTCCAATAAAATCAAATTACAGAAAGCTATAAATTGGTGACAAAAAGTAATTAAACCTAATTTATTCTTCGAAAACTTGATTTTTACTTTTCGAAGCTTGCAGTAATTAGAAAATATTTTGAATGATCTTTGAAAACGCTTTACGTATATAGAGACATTAGGTATTTATTTTGGAAGTAGGAAAGATGAAAAATAGGTAACGCCTTCGCCGGGAATCGAAACACAGACCTCTGGAATACCGTCCCAGTGTGCTGACCACTACACCACGAAGGCACCCTACGAAGGCGGGAGATATGCCTTATAAGTATACAAGCTATCTTTTACATTACTAGATTACAGTATTGAAACTGTCTTTCAAAGTATAGCAGTAAATTTTTATAAGCGATAGAAAATTAAGTATTAATTTAAAAAGGCAAGTTAAATTAATTTAATTAATGTTAAATTAGTTATGTTAGTAAATAATTAAAATTAGTTAATACGTTAGTAAATTAATTAACAAGTTTTATTGTATAGTTGTAAAAGGAAAAAAACTTTGCAATTCAAGCAAAAGTAATGACACATTTTAAAGGTACAATTTTAAAATTAGATACAACTGGCTCAAATTTAGAATTACATCTTCAACTACACAACAGCGAATACAGCTGCAGAACTGATTTTGAGCTGGTTTATCTACAGAAGAGAAATTAACGATCGGTTGTCGACATAACTTCCAGTCACATTATCACTGAGTAGCTGATATTTCTTAATTTCAGATCTTGGTGCTTCTTGGAGAATTCGAGAGTAGGAAAATAAATAAGGAGCAGAACAGTCAATTTAACGGCCTAAATTTTAACAAACTAACATAAACTATTTTATATTTCAATATTATTATTTTTCTCTAGATAGAATTGATGTTAATCAAATACGTAAATAATGCATTATTAAATTATTCTCTGTTATTTAATTTCTCTGTTATTAATTATTTTTATTATAAGTATATTGCTTCACTTAAATAATTATTAAATATATGTTAGTGATTTTGATAAGCTGATTGACTGCTTATAACCGTGACGCACTGTCAGTGAATTTAGTATGTTGATTGTGATGAAAATTATACTTTACACTTTGCATTCTGAATAACGGTGGCTTTGTTTTTGAGGTGCTACTCTCATGTCGGTAAAACAGGTGGGCAGCAACCCGTATCTTTAGGTCAAGGATGCGGATGGATGGGAACTATTGTACATGAGTTAGGACATGCCATTGGATTCTACCATGAACAAAATAGATCAGACAGAGATGATTGGCTCATTATATATTGGGAAAATGTCAAAGAAGGTGAGACATTTTTTGCCTCATAAAACTAAATCTGATATATAAGAATCTTTTTATTGCATGTTTGTTAAGCTATTAATATTTGCAAACTATAAAAAGGTAATTTAAAAAGAATGAAATTGTTTTGCTTTTCTTATGATGGAAACTGCTGTGGCTATATAACAGGGTTTCTTAAACTTTCTCCAGTCGCGACCCCTTTTTATCACTGAGATTTTTTCGCGACCCGCAGGACCCCATAGTATTTACAAAAATTTTGTGGGATCCCATAAGTATTGCGCAAGTCCGACACACACGTGAGTGAAACTGTCAATTTTTTCACTTGTACTGTAATATACTATTGAAGTTCAGGTCATTAACTTTAATTTCTAATTTTAAGACATAGAACAATGTGAACTCCCCGGGGGTCTCGACCCACCGTTTAAGAAACCCTGATATATAGTAAAACAGCAACAAATTGCTCAGAGACAGAAAATGTGTAAAATTTCAGGCGAGGGTGGGCATTACATTAAATTATCATGTTGAATTCTGGAGTCATACTGAATGAAGAATCACAGCGATTGAATGAACATCTATCTAACCTCTGAAGATGCTGTACTATTGCCAATAATGGTCTAGCTACCAAGAGTAATTGATAGTCAATTTGTTTCTTATGGTGCTATATAAAAGAAGCTCTTTAAATCTTTACCTAAAAATGACTACAGCTTATTGAAATGTATATGTGGACATGTTGCAACACAAAGAGCAAGGGATCAATTATCTCTGGATATTAGCAAACAAGGGGACGTTCAAACATCCAAAATTTGTAAAACTATATTATGCCAGTAAAACTTATTTATATTGTTCTTAGACACTTCAGGGGTTCCTGTATCATACATAACTTTTACACATACATAACCAAATAAGAAAAGTATTTGCATTCCTTTTAAATTACCTTGTATTAAAAATTTTAAGAATTTACATTTAGATATTTTCTGAGTAGAAAATCCATTCTTAAATTTATAGCTTTATATTAAAATAAAATTCAATTTAATTCTCTAGATATGCTGTTACAAAGATTAAAACATTACAACATTTTTCAAAATTTCTTCCATTTAATTTATTGTGCATTTCCACAAGTGTTTCAGTAATATCTTTCATTAATATTTTAAAAGTTCTTTTCATTTCACTTATGTGTTGAAAGAATTCCCGAATTGAAAGAATATAAATTAATTTCGGGGCAATAAATTAAAGTTTTTATTAGTATAAAAGGTATCATTCTCATTTACCATATTGCTTTCCAGGTATGGAAGACCAATTTTTCAAGCTCAAACCTAACCAGAATCAACTTTTGACTCCTTTTGATTACGATTCTATCATGTTATATGGTTCCTACACGTTTTCAAAAGATCGGAAAAAGCTCAAGACGATGGTTGGGAAGGACGGTAGATTTCTGCAGGAAGTCATTGCTAAGTACAGACTCAGCAAAAGTGATATAAAGAGAATAAATACATTATATAAGTGTAAAGTTTAAATGGTTAATGTATAAGTGCAAAAAGTAAAGTTATGTATTTAATAAAATTTACTTTTCAATTGCCTTAATTTTGTGTTGTACTTAATTGCAGGTAATTACGTAAGCATTATAATATACGTGATGTATAATATACGTGATGTTAAGTGCTCAATTAAAAAAAAAAAAAAAAAAAAAACTTGGTATGTGTTTCTACAGAGAAAGGTTTTCCTAAATTTATCTTTATGTTGTAACTAAAAAAAATTTCTAATATGGGTGATGTAATAAGTATAGTAGTTTGATATCGATTTCCAAGATAATACGTTTCATTATACGATTTTTGAAATTTAAATCATACTGAAAGATATAAAGGAAAAACTTTGAAATATCTATTGTAAATCTCAAAAAATAAAATTGTATTCAATCGTAGCTTTTTTTAAGTAATTTGAAATAAGAATTTAGGTAGTATTGCGAATAACTTTATGTGTGTATTTAAGTATGTATTTATGTGTTGATGTGTGCATGTATATACGTACGTACGTATGTACATGTGTGTATATACACACACACAGATATATACATATACACTGGTGTGCAAAAATTAAGGAAAGTCGAAAAATTAGCATATCAGCTGAACGAAGAGGCAGAGCGAACAGAAAGACAAATCAGGAGATTAAGTAAGGTGATGTACGGTAGCACATGCGCTGATATGCAGGTAGACGTAATGGGGGAGTGTCTGAGTAGTATAAAGCATGTTGTCGGTGTAAGATCAGTATTTCTGGCAAAGAGATTGCACGCCGTATAGCAGTTAAAATCACACCGAGTTGCTGCCTCAGCGAGAAATGGCGAATAATCAATCTGTTAGACGACATCTGGATGCTTTTACCCGAGGTCGAATCATTGGGAAGTTGGAGGAAGGCCGCAGTGTGACAAGTGTGGCTGCAGAGTTCGGAATTGCTCACAGCATCGTTTCACGACTTTGGAGACAATTTCAAACTACAGGAACAGCTATCCGGAGGTATAGTAGTGGTCGTCCACGAGGAACCACACCCGCAGATGACCGGTATATTGCCTTACAGGCCAGAAGAAACAGGCGGCAGACAGCGGGAGAAATCGCTAGACACACGACACAGGCGACTGGACGACCGATATCGCGTTTTACCGTGGCCAGAAGACTGCACGGTGGTGGTCTGTTTGCACGACGCCCTGTACGGTGTGTGCCTCTAACGCCTACCCATCGGAGAAGGCGTTCTCTGTGGTGCCGGGAACACCGGAATTGGAGAGACAATGAATGGGGACGAGTACTCTTTACAGATGAGAGCAGATTCAGTCTGAGTAGCGATTCTCATCGTATACTCATCTGGAGAGAGCGGGGAAGCCGCAGTCATCCCTCGAACATCATTGAAAGGGACAGGTATGGAGGTGGCGGTGTTCTCGTTTGGGGAGGCATCATGCTTGGTAGTCGTACAGACCCTCACATCTTCGACGCAGGTTCAGTCAACGGGACCCGTTATTGTAACGAGATTCTTCTTCCATATGTGCGTCTTTTTAGAGGTGCTATGGGTCCGCAGTTCCTTTTCATGGACGACAATGCACCATGTCATCGCACAGTAGCTGCCGAACAGCTCTTAGAGAGTGAGGATATTGAACGTGTATGGATTGGCCGGCACGATCTCCGGATCTCAATTCCATCGAGCATGTATGGGATTTTCTTAGGCAGACGCTTGGCAGCTCGTACCTTACCACCAGTCACGATTCCGGAGCTTCGATTGGCGCTGCAAGACGAATGGGCAGCAATGCCTCAACGACTCATTGACACCCTCATTCTCAGCATGGGCAGACGCTGTGAAACCTGCCTAGCAGTCAGGGGAGATCATATCCCCTATTAAAGACCGGATGTTTCTTGCTGGACACCCATCACAGGGATGTTTCGGCCTTCAGTCGCATTGCGCTCCATGCTACTTTTTCAATAAAGCTTCTTTTTATACCTCTGATTTCTCTTTTAGTAAGTGTTGCTTACATTACTCATGTCCTTACGTATTGGGGATCTTACGGTATTAAATATGTTGATTTGGAAAGCTTTTGTACAAAGTTATATTGAAAAAACCGTCTCGTCCTTAATTTTTGCACACCAGTGTATATATTTAATTTTCGTTCCGACTTTTACTTGATATATATATATATATATATAATATAATATGCATACGTGCACACAATACATACATTTCTCATTCCGATCCTGATAACTAAAGGATACCGATATATCTGCGCCTGGATTGCACAATAAGGAATTTTCCTACAAATTATAACCATACCTTGTAACCGAAAGCAAGTTCGAAAGGATCGATACATTTCTTTAAACAGCTTGACTTTACTAGCTTTTAAATTTTTCAGTTACTATCGATTCTTTGCCATTAGTCGTAGCCTTGATTACCCGAAATCTCTCGCTTAAGAAGGAAATGTTATAAATTATTCGAATATAATTCTCTCACGTACACTGAACATAGTATCGTTAATTATAAGAAGCTTTCAAAAATTGTGCGGTTTGTATTAATTTTAGTGACATGATCATTTAGTCTGTAGGATGTTTCTACCGCCTTTTCATTTACTGTCTAATCTGATGACAGATGAGGTTTTGCACTCATAATATTACTTACAAAACTTTAAAAAGCCATGCTTTATATAAGATTCACTGAAATGCTTCTTTTTTCTGGTGAGAACCACTATGTGGGATTTTCTTTCTACTGGTTATAGTACCTGTTAGCAGAGTAACACCTTTTTCTCAGCACTCAGATGGTACCTGCGGGTTTCTTTAAAGTGATGTAGATACCAAATTTGAACTATTAGCCAGGGTAATTTCATTTCTGCATGAAAAATCACTGCTTAAACATTTTTCCAATTGTTATATAAACAAAATTTCACTTTTAACAATCTATAATATCAAAAACTAATTTAAAACGAAACTTTACATCTAAAATGGTTTGAATGTCATAGTTGTAAAGGAATAGAACTACATAACTCACTTGATGATTCACTCGATATTGAAAATATAACTGGCTGCTAATCATTTTATACGGTAGACAGTAACAAAGCGAGGAAGGAAATGGTCACATCCGATGCTTAATCATGCAATGTGATTAGTATGTATGATGAAAAAATATATTGATGTGTTGATTAGTATGCAACTATTGCAATGCTTTTTTACATATTTCAGACAGTAACGGACATATCGGAAATCCTTACATTTACTTTCTCTTTCATTAAATGACAAATTTTAAATCACTGAAGAGCTTTCCTTTCTTTAACAAATCTATCTTTATTAGAACATTTTGTTATATATTACTAAGAAGTTTTTCTCATACCACTGACTAAGCCATGACTTATCTCAAGGAGTTGCTGTAGTTCATATATTCACCAACAGAGAGGTAACTTATTGGGCCGAGCCAGTGTTTTTTCCCCCCTTCTCTTTTCTTTTCCTTTTTCTTTTTTGTAAAACCAACCATCGGTGCTGTAGAAAACTCACTAGTTATGCCCTCTTAACCAATTCTTCGTTTGATAAAATAGTATTATCTGAAACTTATTATCCGTTTTATATTCATCAGATCTCTTTCTCTTATAAAATAACTGAAACAAGTGAATTATTCCATAAAATATGAAAAACAACTAATATCAAGCCGTTAGGTAAAGGTCTCCAATATTTACCTAAGTGGGTAAACCGATGTATAAGAGATTATATAGAAATTGAGAAATATCAGCAATTGTTGAAAACCGTGGATACCGTACGGATACCCAGTTAAGCTTAAATGGATTCTATTGCAAATGTTGAATGTGTTCATCATCATCTCAAAAGGAATAATTTATTTTAAATGCATTTCATAGAATTAAAATTGCTAAAATTTGGAAAAAAGGCAATGTTTACAAAGAGAAATGTTATTATGAAGGAGGTATTAACACTTAAACAGACCAGACACAATATTATTACAGCTATTTCGATAACGTCACTAAAATATATAATTTATGATAAATATTTTCCAATGAATTTTGAAAGCACATTACGTGTATAAGCATTATGTAAAAAATGGAATTAGAAGGTGAAGTATTACTACTCTTTATATGGCTAAATAAGTATAAATTTATAAAAATCAATATGGATGTAATTTGATACTCAAAGCGATTTCGCATTTTATCTACGTTCATCCAAAAAAGATAACTATTTTAAATCTAATTAAATTTTTAAATATTATTACTTGAAAATGTTGAAAAATATTAGATAAATGACATTGTTAGAAAACTATTATTAATTTATAATTTATTAATTATTATTATTAACTGATAAGAGAAAAAGTTGTAATAATTTATAAATTAAATGACATATATGAAACATTATGTCGACTGATAGAGTTACTCAAGTAAGAAAGTTAATAAGTGCTAAAAATGTATGCAATTACAATTGTATGCAAAACTAATTACATTAAATCCTCAGTGTTGAATATTTATATAAAATTTACTTCAAATAAATCGTATATAAATATTATTAAATATATAAATATGAGCATTAGCAATAAATCGAATATATAAATATGAGTATAAACAAAGTATATAAATAGCAACTTATCAAATTTTATTTAAAATAAATAAGGCGATTTATTTTAAATAAAATTTAAAATAAATAAGGCGATTTATTTTAAATAAAATTTAATGAGTTGCTTATTTATAAAGTTTTTCATTTTTATTTATAACGTTTTTCCTTAAAAACTATGTAAACATGTGTGACTTTCCTAGTTAGAGAGACTAAATCAAACTATGAATAATTAAAAATGCATTATGCATAAAGAAGCAAGAGCGATAAGCAGCTTTAACGTACAGGTAATGCCATAATTTCTCCTTTCGAAAATATAAAGTATTACTCATATATATAGTATTACTTATGAATTTAAGGTAAAATAGTGTTTATATCTTCGTATTTAGAAAGATTTTTATCCGAACTATAACAATTAATAAAATTTTATCTCAACCTGATTTTCTTATGATGATAGAAAATGCTTTCCTAGTCCTTTACTTTTTCTTAGAGCTGGCTCTTAGAATATTAAAATAAAATAATAAAAAATCACAGAATTGTAAAATTTATACTATTTCTGAACTAAACGAAGATTATAAACTAGTACATACGAAGAAAACATACGAAGAAAAGTGCCCAATAGAAATCGGAAAATTCTTCCCACTCCTTTGTTTTCACTATTTACGAAGAGCGTTTCAGAACTGTGAGACTTAAGATCTATTATTCAAAAGCTGTATAGTATTTTATAAAATATTAAATATGTTCTAAAATATACGTAACAAAGCTTATAATAACCATGAGAGAGAATTAAATTAAGTCGAAATAAAACGATTTTAAACGAGTCCAAAAGTAACCTTAAAAACAGCATCGACTAGAAGTTTCTAGTAACAGTCGCAAGAACCGCCATTTATTCTTAACGCGTGAGATAGGGAATGGAGTTATAGGATCAAAGTATTTCGTTTGCATATGCTTCAGGGGATACATAACTCGTAGCAACAAGTTTTTTTGTTTTGGTTAAACTTCATTTTCTATTAAACAGCAAGGTTTTAGCTAGCTTATTCCACTGAGTTCCGGTAGAAAAAAATATGTCAGCCAAAGAAACTAACCATACTATCGTACTTCAAGCCTTTTACATTAGCCAGACTGGAATAGAAACCTCTGCAATGGGACAAAAAGTTCAACAAAGAAACTATAGATCTGACAAATACACTGCCGTTAAAATTGCTACACCTGGAAGGATGAAAATAACAGCATGATATTTATTTACATTGTATACTATAGTGAAAAGCACAAGCGATTAAATTTAAAGAAAATTAGGACTTATAGATCCTAAAAAATCAGTATCCAGAGTAGCCATCTTTGACAGCAACATCAGCATTCATTCTTCTGGGCATGGAGTCAAACAGATTGTATAGTATGCACGAGGACCGCAGTCTATAGAGCTTCAACACTATGCCACAGTTCATCGACAATAGTGGATGGTGAGTAGTGAAAATCCCACGTTTTCAGCTGGTGACAGATCAGAATAATATGCTGGCCAGAGCAATAGGCGATATTGAGAAAGTTAAGGACCGTACAGGCAACATGCAGTCTTGCTGAACAAAAAACATGCAGTTTTGCTGAACCTTTGTCCTGCTGAAATAAAGTTTTAGAAAGGCTTCAAAAATAGGGTAGAGCCACGTCAATGTAGAGTCAGAAATGCAATTGCTGTTCTTCAAAGTGCCGGGAATGCGAACAAGAGGTGATCGAGACATGTATTCAATGGCACCTCATTCCATCAGCTGGCAATGCGCTTTCTCTACCATACCACAAAACACGGATGCGGCCATCATGGCGCTGTACGCAGAATCGGGATTAATCTGAAAAGATGACGTTCAGGTTCGTCGTTGTTCATACCATTAATGCTGTCTGTGACGCAGTGTAATTGGTGCATCGACTAGAAGTTTAATTTAAAATCAGCATGGCGATCAGCCAAAGCCCTGATCGCCATGCTGATTTTAAATGTCGTCGAACTGTTCTTGCAAAAACTTGTTATCTTGCAAACGACCCCATTTCTCGACTCAGGCTTTGTGACATGGCTGTGCGATCCCTTGTTACCATGAGGATAATATATCTGTCTTCTCGGCTGTTATTGATGGGGTGCCGCTGAGATCCTGCACGATGTTCCATATGACTGTCTCGAACCCACCAATTCCATATTTTGCGGAGAGTGACGGGATGTCGACCGAAATGAGCAACAATATTGCCGTGCGATAAACTGCAATCGCGGTAGGCTATAATCCTTCTTCGGACAAAGTCAAACAAATGATGATAGGCATTTCTGTTTCGTACATTATATTTTATATAATAGCATTAAAACAAATTTCTTATCCTAAAACAACGTTCAAAAGCAAATTGAGTATGAAAAAACTACTGTCAATTCTCTGGCCTTATGCACATTTAAGATGTTGCTACTACCGCCTTCTTTGCATGAATGCGATGAAAATCTAATCGTTTGCGCATCATAGCATCTTCTCTCTGTCATGCAAACTTAACGAGTGCAGCGTGCCACTTTCCTGGTGTAGACATTTTAATGGCCAGTGGGGTGTAAATGAATAGTTGTAAGCGGCGATTCTTCTTTCGTGCTCTTTTTCCGTTTCCTTCATTACCTTATTCCCTATTTTATGTGGCTCAGCCAATAACCATAATTCTTGCCACTGCTTCTGAAATTTTGAATGTGCTTGAATTCTACTCAGTTTTTGAAGACGAAATAACACTACATAGATTATTTTTGTTTACCTTGCGTAGCTTATTTATTATATATATTTCTTTTTCTTTTTATTTTAGGTTTATTCTGATTTGTTCTGATTTGGTAAAATTATATTTTGGAAACTTAGGAATGCTTTAAAAATTTTTTCTGTGAAAATTAACGGTATGCTTCTTTATGTTTTTACTTCCTTGAACGATGTATTGTAATCGCTTAAAATTTTGGGCATCATATTTCAATGGTTATATACATTTTAACCATTCCTGAATCCATTTGGAAGAATTTTTGTCTGCGATGTCTATACGAAATCACAGAATAAAAAAACTCTTTCTTCAAAAACCAATTATAAAATCGATGCAAAAGAGACTTTTCCGTCAGGTCTGTACGTATTTATGTTTCCAAGTACATATCTGGCATAACTCAGAAACGATTAGCCGTAGAACTTGACAGGGCTATACAGGACGTATATCACTTAATGCTGCATCTCTCTTTTTAATGCAATCGGCAGTACTAAGGGCATATATATACATGTAAGATGTAACAAAATATGAAAGCTGTTTCAAAAAAAATAATTGGCGACCTCAAAATTAACTTTCTAAATTTGGTGATCTGCTCCTAAATTCATCTCTTCACAGGTTCCAGATTTTTATATCTTACGTAACGTTCTAATGTAGATGCCTCTTGACCAATCGCCAAATTGCAAACCAAAACTTTTCTCTTCGCGTGCTTCCATCTTGCATAACTACGCACTTCAGCTTTTGCTCTCTACTCTGCTAAGATGTAATTTCGTTGGCTTGCTTTCTATCTCAACAATATCAAAACTGTAAATCTTCTGTGGAAAGGCACGACTAGAGTGCCAAGTGATTGTGGTGACAAATTATCAATTGCAAATAAAACTGGAATTAAATCTGCCTCGAGTGCCAAGTTCTTCAGATATTACCAAGTTAACATTATTAGCATACTACGCAATCAAAATTCTTCTTCAATATAGATCTAAGCACGCATCGACACTTCTCCGGCGTTTCCTTGTGCTTTTTATTATTTCATATATATATATATACCTACTTACCCGGCTTAAAAGTCTACCCGGCCTTTATTTTTGCAATGTTTAGTCGTAGTCATGTATTTCCAATTACAGAAGTGCTTGAAATGACAAAAATAATCATGTTTTGACAATGTCAAGTTAAAAAAAAAATACTTTTTGACAAATGACGAAGTCTAACTTTTAATGCGGTCTCCATCTTCATATTCTTAAATTTGGGAAAGCTTCAGCTCGTTATGAAAAAATAAAATTAGGAGGAGTTTGACACCTGAACGACAAAATCAAAATATCTAATTTACAAATTCGCAATTTTTGATGTCATTTTTAGCTTGCCTTGAGGGGGTTGATTACTCTAGAATAACTGAAGAAAATAAGTGCAGAAAAAGGTGTAGGTCGTTCAAGGAAGTCATGTGATGTCCATATCAGATTTCTTCAGGCTCCTATAGCATTCACATGAGTTCTCAAATTTTGTGAAGCTCGAAAAATCAATACAATCTCTATCCTTCAGAAAGAAGTGATGCAATTCGAGAACATCTCTCGATTCGGATGAAATTCTTACTCAGATCTTACAATAAAATACACAAATGGCAAAAACCTAAGGTTTGATTTTTAATAGTTGCCCATAACCGTTTTTGGAAAAAATCAACAAGAAAAATCGATCGCAAAGATAGCTGCAAAAGTAGATTGATTTCGTGCGAAACTATAAACAGTGTAAGGATACCTTTATTTTGCTTACTTTAAGAAGATAAGCGATGTTAAAAATACCTATTAAGTTGAAACCAGTCCACTGCTCAAATCAGCACCAACATGGCTGGAAGCAATGTAGCGATCAAAAGATGCTGGAATAAATGGTTGATGGATATTATCATATAGCAAAGAAAACGCGTACTGGATGGCAAGGAATGCGAATAAAAATCATAATCGATGTCTTATGTAAATTGCTTCAAACAAGTCATGTCTTCGCATTGTTTTAAAGTATGCTTATTTAGATTTACTTAGACCTCAATCAGTTATGATTACCAAATTTAAATTCCTAGACTGAAAATTTGGGAAATCGTTTATTCTTTTAAACTTTAGTATGACTTCTGGAAAACGAAGTATATAAAATATAATTTTCCTAAGAATGGATTTATTCGTGGATACATTCAGTTGAGCATGCTTCATTAAGATCTTTGGCATTTAAGAAAATTTATCATCGTGTGAAACAAAAATCATTTGAAAAAAAGGAAAAACAACCAAAATGTGCCTAAAAAGAAAAGCATCTGCAGAACTAAATCTTCTGACGAATATCATACTATGTGAGAATTGTAGCATCTGGATATCTCAGTTATAGGAGCTAATCTTATCACAAATCCTATCACTCATCCTTTGATATGAAGCATTTCATTCATTTTAACTCTACACTTTTATCTTGACAATGGCCGCAGAAGGTCTATTCTCCTTCGCCATCCTTTGCTTTGCTAGTTATTGTGCTTCAGCACAAGGTAAGTCCAGAATATGTGCTTGAGTTTTAAGTTTGTCATATCTGCATCGTAAGTTTATTCAAATTTACTTTGCAAGCTTGTTTGCTTCAGAGCATTATTTCGCTTTTAATTCTTTTATACATAAATGTTCTTAATTTCATACATCATAATAAATAATTTTGTTATTTTAAAATGCTTAGTGAACTCAGTACTTCATAATTTAAATCAAATTACTTAACTGGCATCCCTAAACATTTCCATGAGTTTTGCATCGAAAAGGATATTTTAATCTTAAATCAAATTTCATTTTTGCTATCAAAACTTTAAGGAAATGAATCAAATTTCTGAAAGTTTTACGCATTTATTATTATAATAATATTGGAATTTTGGGTAACAATTTGTGGTCTCCTTTGTTTTTGCTTAACCTTTTTGCTGTTGGTGCATCTGACAAACGAGGTAATCTGTATCGCAGCAGAAAAACAAATATGCTTTGTGGGTTTTAATAACAGCTTAACATATGACATTTTTTTCCGTTAACGTATTCTTAATGCTGACTGAATTTAAAATTACCTCAGTACCATACACACATCTAAACATAACTGCTCAACTTATTATAAACAATATATTAATTTAAGGAATTCTCCATAACTATATTAATTTTTGGGAAGTTAATTAATTCCACATTTATAGTATATATGTGATGATTTATTTGTAGATGTGATGATTTATTTGTAGATGTGAAAAGGCACCAATTAACTTTGTAGTCATGGTTGTAGTCAAATAGCTTGAAACTGCTGCTTCGACGAAATGATGGAGTTGCAATCAAATGTCGTCGTCGTGACGATTAAACATAGTTTATTTCTGAAAAAACAATTCTTTAGCAACAATTAACAGCACATTCTCACTGTAAATCATTTAGTATAGTGGATGGAATGTGCTCCCCACGATTCTATATACACTCACGGCATTTTTGAATAATGAACAGCATTAGCAGCGAGATACAAGTTAGTGAAGCAAAAAGAGTTTAAAAAGAAGCTGCGTATTGAGAAGCTGAGGTATTTATAAGCTCTTGTCCTTTCTTTCAGTTTTGAATAGTGAATGTATAAGAGCTCATGCGGTTCGCTGCAGAAGAAATAAGGACGCGTGACGTAATACAGATTCTTTGAAAGGGGACGTAGGCAAATTAAATTCAAGAATCAAAAGGGATAAGCTTACATATATACACACATATATATATACGCACAGATATGTATTCAAAATAAATCAACGCCACTGAAAAACTTAACATTGTTGGACCAGTAGTTAAGAATAATAAACTGGCAAAATTAATTCAGAAAAAGCCACCAGAAAACTGAAAATTATATGAATTGCAATTAAAATAAAAAGTAATCAAATAAATGACTATGCCTTTCATGTGTCATCTCATCGGAGGAAAGACGAGGAAAACTTGAAAACTCTATTTTAATAATTACATGTTGCTTACATTTGATTCCGCTGTTTAAGTGTGCTAGATTTACATAAAGTTTTAATTTTACGTTCATAAATATATAAGGTATTTTCTCCCTCCTTTCCAAATGCTTTCGTGGTGTAACTGGAAGCCCACTCGACGCGTATTCGGGAAGTCCACAATTCCAGTCTCGGCGAGAGCACTGCTCCACTTTTCACGGCTCCAAAATAAATTTAAAAAAATAACCTAATGACTCTACAAATGTGACTTGGTTAATTATCCATCATGTGTTACTCTCCTTCCAGTGATATAGAGCATGAATTTCAAAATTCGTGAACTTTTATTATTTGTTATATTAATTACACTTCACATTTTTTTCAGTTTTATACTGGCTAGTTTAAACTTGGTCACGATCAGCTAACATTGGTATCTCATCCAGCAGTATTATACTCTGAAACTGTATATTTTCCTAAATTCGGAATATTTTTATAATAGATGTTAGAACGCGTTTCCTTGTCTTTATATTTCTTCGAATTAAAATAACAATTATTGTGCTTATATTTTGTTTGTTTGTATATATTTATACACATATACGTAGTTATTTTTAGAAGCGGTAAATTTGGGTGACATTCCTATTGAAAACCCAGATTTATTTGGCGGTGATATCCTCGGAGTTGATGACCATGAGGTGAGTGATTAAATAAAAATTTGATTTTATTTAAGAATTTTAAGGAATGCACCAAATATACATATAAACATCAGTCTAAATATAAAAATTTAGAATGTAGAGTAACTTAAAAAGATCTAATGTTTTATTTTTTTATTAATTTGTAGCATTTTTATATTTTATTACAATGCATTTTACAACACATCTTTGCAACATTCCGTTAGTCAGCCCGATGCTTTTTATTTTTTGATTTGCACTGCAAGATAAATTTTGAAGGGATTTAATCTATGAAAAAATTTGCACTGTTTTAAACCAGCAATTCTGTGTTCCAAAGATATCCTTAAATCACTTGACTCTTTCCTTATTGCTTGATACATATTTCTTTTATCCGGTAGCCAGTGATTTTATTTTTGCTCTACAAGAATGTTGAAAATTGTCTTTAGCATATTCTTTCGAGGTAACAACTTTTTAATTCCTTTCTAAACTTCATTAAATACTGTAACATTTCTTTTGACAGTTTAATATTTATCTTATCAGAGTCATGAAGGGAAAAAACTCACTGCAAATTAAAAACAAACAAATAAAGAACTTGAACTTCAAAATGAGCACAAATAAGCATGAAATATTTACTGATTGCTATTTCGTTGTAACTCAGTCCAACTTTATTAAATGCTGTTTTTGAGCTAATGATTTATAATAGAAACGGTAATGCTACAAGTGGAAGTCGGAGTGCTTAGTCGAAAGGAGAACGGTGGATACGGAATGTACATTGCAACTGCCACCAGGATTAGAATAAACTCTACCGAACACTTCTATTCTTCTTTCAATAAAGTAAAAGTTATCTTCTGCTTATAGCACTTACCATATCTGTTACAAGTATTCATCGTAGCAATAAGGCGCTGATACAGTCGGTCAGAGATCCAATGAAAGCGCAATCAGAAATAATTGCAAGCTTATCTGTGCTAACGTTTAAGATGAAGTTGTTCATTTTTTATGTTTTCATATGGTCTAAGCTTTGACGTGGAACTAAAAATATGCAACTAAATATTCCAAATTAAATAACATGACCAGACAATTAGATATGATCCCCTTTAGCAATTTATATGGGACCTGATGGGGAACTTAAATGTCAATGATAGCATTCTAAGAAAGCAGTATTTTTAATTCGACATCTATTTCGTTCTTTCCTCGTTTGCTTCACTATGTAATATATGGGTAAAACTAGCATAACATAATTATTTAATATATGAGTAAATTCTTTATGTAATATATAAGTAAGACTAGCAAACGAATTAGGTAACTTTTTCTAGAAGCTCATTCCACTGTAGCCTTTTTTTTAAAGAGGCATTTCAAGGCCGTTTCTAGCCCTCTCCATTTGTGGTGGGGTTAACAGCCCTTCCCACACGAGTTACAATAATACGAAATTCATCCTCATACTGTAGTTCAAGGCATCCTTCATCCGGGAGCCTTTTTCCTGAAGCGTAACAAGCTAAACTGAAATAGAGTGTGTATGTGCGGGCCAGGGGAGTAAGAGCTGTCCACTCTGCTGTTGTTCCTATGGTTACGAGGCAATCCGGAGGTGAAAAATGACAATAACGTTCCGATTTATAGATTTAGTTTGAATGGCATACTTCAAACCTCAGCTTTCCTGACTACTGCGAAAAACTTCCGTTGACACTACATTTTGCGTAGATCTGCCAATCAGACGGTTAAAAAAGGATCATGTGGTCTATTTAGGTAACTAACTACTTAAAAATCTTCGGAGCACAGTTTTTCGAAAAGTTGCATTTGACGAGGTGTTTAGAGAATCTGTCGTTCTGTTTGATAGCGGTTTTACAAAGGGGCTAGGGCGAAAGGACAGAGCGTCGCAAAATAGGAGGGAAGAATTCCAGATGAAATGACATTCTTTAATGTTTAAATTCTAATCATTTTCAAAACAGTACCTTCTTAAAGTTTCGAGGTATCCAAAATTTCTGAAAAGAGAATAATGGAACTATATGGATAATGAAACTATGTAGAAAAATCGAAGACAATTAAGTCAAGTTCGAATGATCAACAAACTCAACTGAGTTCGAATGATTAACAAACTCAACTGAGTTCGAATAAGCAAGTTTAAGCTGTATTATAATTCTGAATGCTGTTTTTAATTTTCGTGATATTTATAATTAAAAAGATTCACGCAAATTTGAAGTACGGTTTTTAAATTTAATGGTATTTTATAGATGAAATTATTATTATGTTAGGAACGAGGAAAATTATTTAGATTTTAGATTCCGCTTTTCCCTTCCCTTCTTTAGAGAAAAGAAATTTTTTTCAACTAAATTCCAGACATCTTTAATTTAAAAAGGAAAGCTAAGGCGCTGAATTTATTATGAATTTAAATAAAAAGTTAGTTAATCAAAAACGATGGTTTTCTCGCCCTCGAATGAATACGAGCCACGATGTCCAAAGAGATAAGGTTTTTTTTGAAGTTATATTATAAAACAGACGCTTTTTAGTAATTAATTTTATATAATTAGTTTTATTTGTAGGAAACTAGTAGAATTTGGAATTTGTAATGATGCTATACGTATTGTATATAGTTAGTTTTATTTATAGGAAACTAGTAGAATTCGGACTTGAATTGAATATAGAATGATGCTGTATTTATTATCTCAACTATACAATCCAAAAAAAATTCTGAAAGGGTTCAGGTTTTAATGGCCGCCCAAAATTGCCGATTTTTTACTACAGGTTATTATTCAGCAACCTTCCAGATTAAATCTGAAAGTATCTTACGCTTTACTGAATGGCAACACGCTGGTGGGTGGAAGATAAAAGCATTTTATTTCTGGCTGCGGCAACACATTTTCACAGAGCTGAGTATGTTTATTAAAATAGGGAGCTAAATATCTTACATTTTTCCGAATGGTAACAGTCCGCGAGCTGAGGATAAAAATGTTTTATTTCGAACAGTGTTATTACGACTCGTTTTCAAATCGTTGAGTACGTTATTTAAAAATTCATTAAAGATTTACAAAATATGACATCTATAATTTGAAAACGAAAATTCGGTCTTCCAGATGAGCATATTCGGGTGGAGGACTGCATTGTTCAAAATTTGATCGCTCTACGTCGTTTCCTAGGTAGCATCAAGGAACATACATACACGCATGCAGATAATATTTGGTGGCAACAAATTGAAAAATGATGTGTCGCTTATAATGAAACAACGCAAAATCTCATTTCAAAACTAATACCCTCTTTTGGGCTAAAAATAGAAGAAAAGGATGAAACTCAGCAGAAAACTACAGGTTATTGCATGAAACACTTATGAACAGAAATGTACAGCAAATACATAGTTATTAAAATTTGATTTAGTTTATTAACTAAAAATCTTCTTTTAGGATCGTAATGCCGTTGTTGATAGCAGACAGATATGGCCTGGAGGAATTGTGCCTTATGTAAGAGATCCTGGACTAAAAGAAACGGTGTGTAAGTAAAAGTTTATTTTCTGATTTGTAACTATTCCTCACTTAGTAAAAGAAGAAGTTTTTCGAGACTTTTGTCTTTTAGATCATATTACCGAAGATATTATAATCTCAAAGCGCATTATGTTTCCAACAGAATATTTTGAAATTTTGATGAAGTAACAAAATTCAGTCTTCAGGATTTGACATAGTGTAACGTAAAATAGTTATTTATTTGATATTACCCGAATTTCACGCAGTATAAAGGCATGCTACAGGATGCGCGAGCACTATGACATTTTGTGATAAATGGATCATACAAAAAAGGAAACTGAAATCTGCAAACATCAAATTACAATCTAACACCTCAAAGAACAGGCTTACAGTTAAAAATTTCAAAAATCAGAAAACATGTTTATAAAATGTTTGAAAAATATTAATCATAAAAATTAAAAGAAAAATCATTCTGTAACAGTTATGGAACATATGATGTTAGAAACATCTATGAATTATGAAAATAATTCATGAATTCTTTTATGAAATACAACGCAGAAATGGCTGATAAATGTATGAGTAGGATCAAGCATATTGTTACGGATTTTGTACATAGATAGATGATTTTAGTGCAATTATATGTGAAATTGTTGCATTTTTCTGTATAATACAACATGAAAATCTAGAGATGATGCTCTGCCGAAAACGTAAGAATACAGGGGCAAGAGTATTTAACATTGCGTAAATGGCTATTTCACTAATTTGGCGAGAAATCATCAAAATTCGCCAAACTTGGCGTCTATTTGGCAACATTTGGGTTCGGTCCCTGTATAACTGTAATGCATATTGTAAATGAAAAACTGTAATTGATGTTCTGTGTAACTGTAACTGTATTCGTCCCTCATATGCCTTCCAGTAATTATGAGAAGAAGAAAGTACTATAAATATCTCGGTGGCCAGGTGGAAACTATATAAGACAGGAAAGAGAATATGCTGTTAATTCTTAGCTCACAGCGTGAGTTCCGAGTACTGAGATACCTACGGATCAATTCTGCCTTTTAGATGCTCTTTGCATTGCGTTGTGTGTAAAACGTTCTTAGTAGTTTCGTACGTAAATACTGATGGTACTCTGCGATACTGTGAAGAGTTTTAGAACTATTTTTATTGAACGTCCCAGAACTGTGAAGTGTTACTTTTGGTAAAATAAATTTTATCACGATCAATTCTATGTGCATTTAATCTATTACGAACCTGTACGCACGCAACAAAATGCATAATTGTAAATCATGTCATATTTGTGTAAGGACTTTTGTCCTTCCTCACCATGTGCTTTCGTTGTGTCACAGGAAACAGGTTCTAGCAATCGTAAGATCCAGAGCTCAAATTCCGGAGAGGGAATCTCTTATTTTTCATGTTTCTTTTTCGCAAAGTACGAATAAACTCTATAGTGGCAGCAGAGTAATATATAGTGGACGATAATTCGTCCCCACCTGAATTTGGCAACTGGATCTCTCTCCTATAGTCGCCCATTAAGTGTGAAAGAATGTAAGAATTTTTTTCTCCTTTGAAACGTGCCTATGTTTTACAATACGTAGTAAGCTCCGCAGGTCATCGGAAGATCCCGGTGAAGGCATCGCTCATTGTTCCTATTTCCAAATTTTGATTAGATCCTGTAGATATCTTTCGCCGCCCAACCGGTATAGTGGTTAGCGTTGCTGACTGCCGTGCCAAAGGGCCCGGGTTTGAATCCCGGAGAAGGCATAGATGTTTGTAAATGTATATCGTCCGTGCGACATGGGGCACTCTAAATACGCGGCGAGGCGAAATTCCTTTCCAGAGGTTAATTGTATCGGTTCCTCCTAGGTGCTCTCCATCAAAATTTCGGGCGGAACTGAGCTAAATCGCTCGCTCACCTGTAAGATGCTCAAGGCTGTTGCCAACGACACGCGTAAACTTCACTCCTTGCGGCGAGGAAGTTCGTGGGCTTGGGATGATTATAAGTCTGGAAAGATATTTTTGCGTTGTTTCACTTTAAATTTCTTCCAATATAATCGGGTTGCTTCACTTTTCATTCGAGTTTGTTGATATTCGGTAAAATGTAAGATTAATCTGACCGTTACTGATTAATTAACTAAGGTATTTAAAAACAATAGCTGCAGTTCTTAAACTAGTTTTTTGATTTGATTTAAATAAAATAAGTTTAATTTATGGTATAGCTACTTAAAAGTATTAAATAGTTTAAAAAATTACATTATATACTTCTTCCCTTTTCAAACATGCAGAAGGTGCATAACATTCCCACGTTAGTCTTAATATATTCATCTTTTATCCAGTAAAATGTTTTTCTATTCCGCCCGGGCCAACTCTACTGATAATCTATGCTGATAAACCATATTAAACTTTAAACTTAACCAAATTAAAGTTTAAACTTCTGGACAACCATTAAAATCTGAACTCCTTCAGATTTTTTTACTTTTTGTTTTTATCTTTTTCCTCCCTCAGGACAGGATTCACCGAAACCAGTATCATTTCTTTGAAGGATGAGAAAGCAAAGACATTTATCGGTTAATTAACAGCTTGTTTTAAATTTCTGAAAGTTAAAGAAGGAATGGATCAAATTGTATTCAAATTTCTGTGTATGGCAAATTGGGGCTTATATAATTTCTGTGTATGGCAAATTTTACTTCGAAATATTTTTCTGTGAATGATAAAAATCTCATTAAAAATGCTTATTTCAGTCGACTTCATTATGCGAGGAGCATTCGATGAGTATAAGAAGAAAACATGCATTAGATTCATCCCTAGAACGACGGAAAAGGATTATATTAGGATATTTCCTGGACAGGGGTGAGAAAATGCTTTCACTATCAGCCTCTGAAATTTAAGTTAAAATTTAATTAATTTAAACTTTAAATGCAATTATAAGTATTAATCCGCAGAAATATAGAAAAACAATAGATTTCAGCGGATAAATTATGACGCAAATTGACACTTGACACTGTAATGCTATTTTTATAGCGTCAAATGTTCATTACATATATGACGCAAATTAACATTTGACGCTATAATATCATTTTTAATATTTTAGGCTAAACGAATTTCTAAATTCTAAATATTTTCAACATTATAAAATACTATTTATAAACCTTACGTTCAGTTTTCTTTTCAAGTTTGAATTCGGATATTTCGCCAGCCAGAGTTTGAGAGAATGATTTAGTTTCATATGCACAGTAATATGTTAGAAACGTGTATGTATAACTACACAACATTTTAATATGCTATTATTCTCTTTTATATTATTCTTTGTTTCCCTTCAATACCTTCATCATTGAGACATAAATTCAAAACACATTTTTTAAATAAATATTGATAGTGTTTTTTACTTGCAGCTCAAGAATTTTTTTTAATATTTATATTCAGAAATGTTTAATTTGAGATGTTTTCACTAAACAGTTCAACACACTCCTTTTTCATGTGTTATTTATATAAAAATGTTTCTAAGAGATAAGCGAATCACCGTTTAAATCATCATCGAATCAATCGAATTCTTATTCTAAAAGCAATGCATGCGATTTCACTGTTAAATCATTCCTGTCAAAAAGAAAAGAATTTAACAGATGCACAATTCTGTTTGAGTTCCCGTATTTCTTCTTTACAAATAACAATTTTTTTTAAACAATGGCCTTGGCCTTCTAAGCAGAGAATGATGCTAATGAATTTTAGATTTAACATACTGTCAATTCTCCTTTTACCGGGAGTAATCAGGGAGAACGTTCACTCTTAACACAGAATTACAGTTAATCCACAGTTAATTAAGCGTAGTTAATTGAAAGAAAAATAATATTAATAATTTATTTTTATTTTCTTGCAACCTAACCTGGAGAATATGTTCATTTAATTACATATATTTAAACAGTACACAAGTCAAAATTAGAAGATTAAATAAATATTGTTAGTGTGTGTGTATTAATTTATGGCAAAGCACACTAGGGCTATCTGCCTAAGGGGAGGGATGCCTTTCGTGGAGGACTTTCTAAGGGAAACTGGCTCGTATACACGTTACACATGGGGAAAACCACGAAAACGCCCATGCAGCCAGCCCGTTCGCGGGATTCGAACCTCGGACCGAACTACCAGTGTTCAGCGTCTTTACCGCTCGGCCGCTGGTGGGCTCTAAATATTGTTAGAAATGAGTAGTGTATTTTATGCTTAAGTTCTGATTTAATAAAAAGGTTTTCTAAACCTTCTCAACTCTCTGTTGTTAACTTTAAGACTTAGCTATAATTGGCTGTTAGTCTGCCTAAAGTTTGGTTAGAATTTACGACAGCTAAAAAGAATAAACTTTATAAATATTACAAATCTTATTTTAAAGTAACTGTTTTGTTAATCTAATATTTCATTTCTTATTGCAAATTTAATTCAATGCATGCATCGCTAAGCTAATATTTCATGATATATCAACTAATTAAATTTGGCATATGCTTCGTTAAGTTAATATTTCATTGCTTATCAACTAATTAAATTCATGTAACTAACAAACATTCGACTTACTTAACATGTTTTTTCAAGCTAACGTTTCATTTTTTTATCGACTAATTGAACTCCACACATCTTTGGATATGCTAATCTTTTATCCTAAAATAATGTTTGCAAATAGAAGTGCTTGATTATTGTACCAAATATAGATGGAAAAAATAAAGAATAATTATTTTAAAATTTGCAGTAAAACATAAAAACTTCTTATTTCTGAATCAATTTAATTACATATATGTTTCATTAAGCTAACCTTTCGTCATTTGTCGACTAATTAAATTCAGGAGGTGTTTCGTAAAGCTAACGTTTAATCACTTACGGACTACTTATAGTCAAAACAATATTTGCAAATAGAAATGCTTGATTATTGTTTAAATGCAGATGTTAAAAATAAATAATACTTACACTGAAAGTTTGAAAAAACCTAGGAAAATGAATATCCTCGAAATGAATCTCCCACAAAATAATTCTAATAAGAAAGAACCTATTATCGTATCTGTTAATTTTCTGCTGAGTATTAATTTTCAAATTGCTGGTGCTTAGAGCACAACTTTGGCTCGATAGAATAATCATATACTACATGGTGGGAATCTGAATATTTGTATCGAATTGACCAATAAATACAGTTCACCATTGAATCACATGCAATTATAGAATCATTCAATATAAAGACCATAAAACTTAAATGAAGAAAGAAAGTTAAAGCATCTATGTTTAAATAAAATAGGCATTCGCTTTGAGCACATAATGCTATCTAGAGTTTCATGTCATTAATTAATAGTTTCTCAACATAAATAGAGCAATTAGTTAATTATTAAAAAGCATGAATAAAATGAAAAACGTAGCATCAAATTATAGGAATTTCTAATTGATAGGTGCTATTCTCATGTCGGAAAGACAGGAAATCAACAACCAGTGTCCTTAGGCCAAGGATGTGGATGGACAGGAACAGTTATCCATGAACTCGGGCATGCCATTGGATTCTACCACGAGCAGAACAGATCAGATAGAGATGACTGGTTGATTATCTACTGGGAAAACGTGAAAGAAGGTCAGTAATTCTTCTGCTAGATTGTTAGAGACGAGAGCTTTCAAAATATTAATACTGATGCTTAGGGAATGCTGTGATCAGTGTAACTAGTTAGAAGAAGCAAATTTCTGCAAGCTATTTAAAGAATTTGACAAGGAAATGAAATATTAGTAATAAAGTATTGCAATAGTAATAACAGATTTTACGCAGTTTTCTGAACTCCAGTTTCATCAAATTTTACAATATCACATATTTTGCAACACGTATGAGAAAGAAATTTTATCTCTGAACTTTTTCCGTACTTATCATTCTGTAGTATTCGCTCTAAAAATCTTATAATGTGGAGTGTGATAAGTTCATAAAAGGAGCAAGGTTAAAGTTCATAAAAGGGGCAATACCGTTTATTTTCGTCATAATATGCGTGAAATTTAGTCTAGTTAGTATGTAGTAATTTACTGCAAGTTAATATGAGTCGACATAGATGTCGAGCAAGAATGAACGTGCTTTCCTCTTTTAAATCAACGAAGCATTTTATAATAGAATAATTCCGCTCTTTCCCAGTTGCATCTAAAACAAGATTTCAAAGCATTAAATAAGGCTCTTGCCCATTTGTCGACAGAAAGTTCGGATAAATTGACATTTTGTATAATAACTTAGCAAAATGAAAATTTACCAGAAAGCTTAGAATCTTAGTTTATATTAATTACACAGCAATAAAAGCAAAGCGTTTGATACCGACAATGTAAAATCCTTACATACCAGACTGAAAGCGCGCAGATTTGAATTTCAACTTTACAAAAACCATGCATGAAAGTGCTTTCGCGGCCCTTACGATTTTCAAGCGTTGGTCGTAGACATATATAGTTCCAATTGCAAAAATGTTTCAAATAAGACAAATCTTCATATTTTGACATTTAAAAAATTAAAAAATTCTGCTTCGTAAACATTGCAAAATCGAAGTTTTCATATCGTCCCTTCGCCCACCAGCGGCCGAGCGGTTAAGTCGCTGAACACTGGTAGTTCGGTCCGAGGTTCGAATCCCGCGAACGGGCTGGCTGCATGGGCGTTTTCGTGGTTTTCCCCATGTGTAACGTGTATACGAGCCAGTTTCCTTTAGAAAGTCCTCCACGAAGGCATCCCTCCTCTTAGGCAGATAGCCCTCGAGGCTTTGCCATAATCACACGCACACACACATGTGGTCCCTTGACGCTTACACTAATATTTTATAAAAAAGAAATTATATCATTCTAAAAAGTGATCACTAGAAGTTGACCATGATATTGAATTTTAAGCTTTAATTTCATGTTTCTTGAAACTTTTCGGGTTGTAAAAAATTGAAGAGCAAAAAAATTAAATCTGCATGCAATTAAAAATAAAATATCGCTTTAGTAAAAGGTTTCTTGTGTTAATTTGACAATTAATGAGCACTGATATGCAAATTGCAATGCAAATGTTTGATTAATGCAAATTATTTTAAAAGTAAGTCTTTTTTATAGGATCTGATAGAATTTGTGTTTTAGATGGCAGTGGCAGGCTTCAACTAAATTGTACATAGCTAACGCGGAACATTTTTGCACAAACATAATAAAAAATAAAACAAACAAAATAAGAAGTTGATGCCGAAGAAAGTAAGAATCAGTTTATTGAATGGAATGAATTTAGTTGACGGCGACAAACTGTTTCGTTTCTCTTTTTCATCACTTACCAATCACTTTTCAAATACTTACTAACTCATCCCATAAGTACCAAATAAGAGCCACCCGAATACGGATCACGCGGCCTTATAAGAATCACGTCACTCGAGTATGGGTGACATGCTCTGATCTGAATGTTTGCTGTCACCTGAATACGTAAACACTGCAGTCAGCGTGTTAGAGTGATGTCTTCATGGAGAACTTTCTGGAGGAAACTGGTTTCTGTTATCGTGACACATAGGAAAAATGATGCAGGCAATACGTTCACATGGGCTTGAAGTGCGATGCATTTAATAATTCGGCCACGGGTGGGGCTATCGTTTTTAGTTCATAGCTGGAGCAATCTTTTGTTTCACATTTCAGAGCTGAATATTGTTACGCATAGCAGTTTTTTAATGACAGAAAACTTCATTTCAGTATCTCCGCATACAATGCTTTAGTACTGAAGAGTATGATTTCGGCATTATATCATTTTAACAGATGTCACAATATACAACAAGTCACTTTTATAACTTTTATTCGAGTTAAGAAAGTTATTTAATATTCTTTCATTGTCATAATAAGGAAAAGAATATTATGACAAAGAAAGAATATTAAATAAGTAATTTAATTTTTATGTAATATAAAAAATATAAATATTATAAAAATACAAAATATACAAATAATAATTATTATTACAGTACCACTACAGAATGAAATTTCAGACTCAGAATGGGCTAATGTAATATAACATGAATATAAATACATAGATATTCTGTTAAAAGCGGTTAAAAATTTTCAAATATTAATAGAAGCTTCAAGCGTTTTATAAAAGCAGAATTAATATTGTTTTGCTTAACACACTAGTATTTATCATATTAAGAAAGAAAAATTTCTCAAATATAAGTAAAAATTCTAAATATCTTACTATGATAAACTGATAACCATCAAATTATGCACTTTTATAGTGAGATCTGATGCTATAAATAGACAGTACAGGTGCTTGCCATATAGTAAAGCACCGCAGTAAAAAAAGAAAGACAAAGAAAAATTGGTTTCTAAAATGCAGAGCGGCTAAATTTGTGACAGTGCTTCCAGAAAGTCACGGTAAAGTAAAAGGAAATAATGGAATATTTTAACATAGAAATAAACCTGATATCAGAATGGAAAATTTTATAATTTATGCTGGATGACTTAAACAAAGAGAAGAATAGAATAAAAAAATTCTAAAGAAATAAAACACAGCTGAAAGAAACTACGCTCAGTAGTACAGTGGTAAATGATTCCTTAAGAAATTGAGAGGGTGCGGCTTGCTTGATATTGTGGCACAGTGAAAATTCCTTTTCTGTTGATTAGAAATCTATTCATTCATTTTGCGGTAAACATAGCTGGTGTAGTTAGTATAATGGAACATATTTTTGTTAGCTCACCCTTAAGTAATTAATAAAATCCATTTACACATTATGACTCACTGTATGAATAAAGGAAAATTCTAGTCTGACAATACATAAAATATTACTAGTAAACGTTAGCAATTTTTTTTGGTTTTACATTTAGATTAGATTTTATACATGTGCTGAATTTTGAGTTTTTATTCGTATTCGTCTTGTTAAGATTTCTATCAAAAATGTTTTGTTTAAATGAAAAATAGAATAAAATTTCTAAAGCGAACGCCGGGAGCGTATCTATCATTTATCATTTGCTTTATCTTTACAGGAATGGCGGATCAGTTTTTCAAGCTGAAACCTAATCAGAACCAACTTTTGACACCATTCGACTACGATTCAGTCATGTTATATGGCTCCTACACTTTCTCTAAAGACCGGAAGAACCTGAAGACGATGGTAGGGAAAGATGGTCGATTTTTACAAGAAGTTACTTTTAAAAAAGGACTCAGTCCAAGCGATGTGATAAGGATAAAGAAACTTTACAAATGTCAAGATTAGAAGTTTTCGTTTATATCTTACAATTCTAGATACTGGAATTATATAGAATTCAATAAATTTATGCCCCTAAAAATTGGGATTTATATTATTTTTGTAAGATGACTACACTCTTAATTTCGATTTTCATAATAATTTTGATTATGCTAAGTTTATATATACACGCTTTTAAGGAATTACAGTTTACCCTTGAAACAAAAGGGATTTAGGAGACATCAACATAAACAGCAATTTTAAATTTGGATATAAGTTTTACCTCCTTGCTATTTACAGCTTGTTGTTGATCAGAAGTCTAACTAGCAACTTAATAACAGCTAAAAACATATTTTTCCTGCTGTAAGTCTTGTAATTTCCGCGTTAAAATGAGCTACAAAAAAGGAAAATTTTAGAACAGGAAATCAAGCGGAAACGAAATAAAGGAATAGTTGCTCGATTCTACATTTCTTTTAAATGCTAACTCTTAGAATTGTAAAGGTAGATATACAGACGACTTATCTCCTCTTCTCACTTTCGAAAGTACAGTAATCATGAGCTTAAACGAAAGTTTAAATAAATCATTTCGTTTACTCGCCAACTTGTGGCTCCAGAAAGCAGAAAGTGTAAGAGAACACAACATTTTCAGCTTGTGAGAAATTCAGAAAAAACTTTCAAGTCTTGGTTAAGCTCTCAGTATACCAACTGTGGCTTGTGAAGCTAGAAGCTAATAAATCAATTTACAAGGAGAAAGCTGGAATTGAGTATCCGGAGAAGGATAGTTGCAAAGGCTGTCTCTCATACTTAAGAACTCGGCACTCATATACACTAACTAGTTTGCCTCATAGAAGAAGTGGACGAAAGTGATAGCCTAAGCAAAATAACAATATAAATTGATTAAATAAAGTAACATCCTATATAGTACTATATTGTAATCGTAAATACCATATAAGATTAAGTCGTTTGTTATAAGATTATTGCCTGCCCATCAATAATTACGTTAATGTTATAAGGTGCAAAATACTGCGGATATTATATGCATTACTAATATTCGAAATCAATAATAATGCTACAAAAATTATTTTGGTTTGCAAGTACTCAAATTCCATTTTTTTTTATTACAAAGCATGAGCAGTTTGATTGCCTGCATTTAAGCTAGTACTGGAAGCATAGCTTCCAGTACTAGCTTAAATGCAGGCGATATAATCATATATATGTGCGTTTTACTGACAGCCTGACATATGTTTTACTCAATCATCATAAAAATTTCATGACATAGAAAATCGTATTCGTATTCAATATAGTCTTTGAAACACAGCTACATTAAAAGTGAATTTACCTGTTTAATGCAGTGTCATAAAAAACGAGAATTCTCTGCTGTCTAGGATCATTTACAGAATATTTAAACGCACCTTTGTACAAAAAGTATTTCTTTATATGAAATTTATATTTTAAGGGGCGAAAACTATCAAAAATCTCTAAAGATAAATACAGGGCAATGCTAAATTTACTGGATTGAAGAACTGATCAGATGGACATGAGCATCGTCATAAATTATTTCGAATCGATACTTATCATACCAGAGCTTACCACAGCACTTGCAAAAGGAGGAGGCTGTGAAATTCTTTTAAAAGCATAGCTTCCAGTACTATGAATTTTATTCAAAATATGATTTACTTTACATTTATTTACATTTGATTCACTGGTAATGGTGTTATGTTAAGCTAGTAAATGTTTATATTCTTACATTTTACCATATTTTAATTTTTGTGCAGCGCATCTTCATTAATTTTACGGTAACAAATGAGGAAGTAAGCGTATCACGCATGTGAGCATTCAAGATGGATTTCATTTTTTATTTTTTTACTTTATGCTCAATGTTACATGATTTACACTCCAATTTTTGTACAACAACGAATCCTCAAAAAGGTTGCTTTAAATTCACTGAAACATTTCCAAATGAAAGCAGACCAGAATAATTCAAACCCACGTACTAAACTACTATAATTATATAACTTATTGATTTTGGATTTCTGTTATTGCGATCTACAGGTCGTAGAGATATATTTATTACTCTAGATGGGCAAGACAAAATTGGCAATTTGTTGCAGTAAACAATAGTACACATAAAAAATATATCAGTAAATAACTCATACAGAACATAGAGACAAGATAAATGTCCGCATAACAAACGAGAAATATCGTAGATTACGGACATCATTCACAGAGTAAAACCCAGCTATCTCTTTAAACCACACATTCGAGTAAGCCATAATTTAACTAGCTGCTGTGGCTCAAACGCACTTACTTATGTAAGCTTTTGGACCCATGTAAAACTTTGGAAAAAATCTCTCCTGAAGTTTCAAAAATGTGTTTTCTTTAAGCTTCCCCAAGTCGCCAAGGATTGTCGGAAGAATTTTTGCCTATATCTCGAGTTCTAGTTGAGTTATATTTACACTTTAAAGTGTTTTAAATTTGGAACATGAGTCTTTGGAAACATAATTATAAGATTTACAATTCAAAACATGAAGTACTGAAAATAAAATATTTGGCTTAAAGTTGAATTGTGCAAAAATTCACCCACAAATGTTTATATAAAATGCAAAATATAAATTCTACACATGAAAACAGTGCAGACAATTGGACTCGGATATTTAAAAAATTTACAAAACCTTTGTCTCAATGCATTGTAATTAATTTTAATATAACTTTCAATCTGAACTTTCCCAGTTTCATTTTAAACCCTAAAATCTGGCATACTTTAATACTGCATGTCACTGCAGTGAAATATACTATCAGTGATGTTATTCAACGTAGCGAAGTATACGATTAAAACCTAAATGCGCCCTTTTTTATGTAAAATTTAAAAACAGATGTAATTTAAATATAAAATTCACAAATAAATAAATAAATAAATAAAACGAAAACAAAAATAAAAATAAGTAAACAACTTTGAGGTGATGTGAATTTTGAATAAAAGTTTATAGGCATTCAAACCAAAGACCCGCTTTTTCAGGGGAAAAGGAAAAAAAAAAAAAAAAAAAAAAAAAAAAGGTTTTTGAGAAGGTAGGAGGGTCGACAGCTATTTTAAATGGAAAGAAAGGAGCAAATGAAAGCGGAAATGAATGTAGCACCATATGTCGAAGAAAACTGAGTTTTATTCAACATCTACTAAAGTTGCTTTTTTGCCTAATTTTAAAATTCATGATAAATATTTTAGTGAATTTTTAAGAATGAGTAATATTTACTGTAAACTCGTATGCTATGCTATTTAGAAAAAGGGGGCGGAGAGAAAATGGGGAAGAAAGGAACCAAAGAAAACGGCGATTGGATTGTTCACGCGCATTTTGGCGGAACTCATAGCACGCTAATTTATAGATCAACTAAAAAGCTGCATTGCAGAGTTTGAGATGTTAATTCTTATTTTGCTACTTATTTAGTGCCTTGAAAAAGATAATTTTGGATTTGGACATGAGCGAGAAAGATGAAATCTGTACATATTATTGTTTTGTGCCTCATCTCTTGAATGAAAAATTATAAAGACTAATTAAATTTTAAAAATTATAAAGATTAAGACTGAGAAATTAAAAGCCAATTCAACTAACAATACAGATAATTCTGAAGATTCTTTGATAATCAAAGATACTCCAGCTTGTCAAAAGATTAATGAATAAATTTCATCGATTAATTAAAAAATTCCATGAACTGAAATCCTGGTCTATTCAATTTATGGAAAAATTCCTTAAATTCAATTTCTCATTTATTTTTATGAGTTACAGAAAAATTCCTTAAATTAATTTAAAAATGCAGACTTACGAAGCGAATAGCCCTTCAAACTTCATGATAAAAGTACGGAACCTAGACTATTTAAAATAGATGTATAATCGCAGCTTTTTCGTCGTGCTAAGATCAAAATCATATGACTCTACAGTAAAGTCCCACTAAATCGACTTTCAATATCTCGACATTCCGTATAACTCGATAACTTTTTAAGAATATTTTTAAAGATATCTCTAAGACAAACAAAGCAAATATTATATAATTATTATTTATGCGTATATCTTTCCTGTTATATTCAAAGATTTGAGTGTTCTTTTCCTGCAATGTTTTGCCGTTTTCGTATTATGCCATTTATTCTTGAAACTGCCTAACAAATTTCAAGATATGTTATAATACTTGGCAATGCTGTTTGCTTCTTTCGTGGATACGAAGAAAGTCAGGTAAGGGCTGACCGCTAACTCACATTTCTTTCTATTTTTGCGAAACGTTAGGAGACTTATCTTTGTGACTGCATCTTATTGTAAATTAAACTCATTCCAGTTCACTGCGGATATCGTTCCTCAATTCACATCCAGACGTATAAGTGTTATATATTTTTGGGAACTTCTGATATTCTGTGATGTAAAAATGTCATTCGATAAGAAAACAAACTAACGTGACAATGGAAAACTAGATGCCTTAAAGGGACTGGACAAAGGAGAAAATGTAAACAAAATTACCACGGATTTAGGTTTTGGAGGTGAAAGGGTTTAATTTGGAGTTTTAAAAACTCCACTCCTTATTCCGTAAAAGACTTTTTGGAAACTCAACAGTCTGGTCAGTCCAAACTATGTCTAGTTTACAGGACTCTATTTTTCACCCCGTTTTCAGTGACAGATTCGTTAACTTGATATAAGTACGCATGCACATAACAAAGGCATCTTTTTCAAAAGCGAATTATTAAATGTATTTAAAATTGCTTCAAAAGGGTCATTTTCGTGACATGTAGGTACGTATTTATATATGCGAATGACCATATGCTTAAAAATGATTAGACGTGGTGAGCTCAAATTTTGTATATAGGAATTGCTATAACACCTAGTATTGTTTACCCCTTTTTATTACAGTCGGCAGTATCACACGTATATATATATCCGCTTACCCAACTTAAAATCCCTTACCCGGATTTTATTTTCGCAAACGTTGGTAGCAGTCTTACACTCCAGACGTGTTTTAAATGATGAAAATATTCATGTATTCGCAATGTTAAATTCAAAATAATAATAATGATGATAATTTTCAACAAATACCGAAATCTAACTTCTAATGCTATCTCTCGCTTCC